AAGAAATATCAAGAACCTCCGATATGCAGATGATACCACTCTGATGGCAGAAAGTGAGGAGGAATTAAAGAACCTTGTAATAAGGGTGAAAGAGGAGAGTGTAAAAAAACGGTCTGAAACTCAACATCAAAAAAACTAAGATCATGGCCACTGGTCCCATCACCTCCTGGGAAATAGAAGGGGAAGACATGGAGGCAGTGACAGATTTTATTTTCCTGGGCTCCCTGATAACTGCAGATGGAGACAGCAGCCACGAAATTAAAAGATGCCTGCTTCTTGGGAGGAAAACGATGACAAATCTTGACAGCATCTTAAAAAGCAGAGACATCACCTTGCCAACAAAAGTCCGAATAGTCAAAGCTATGGTTTTCCCTGTAGTGATGTATGGAAGTGAAAGCTGGACCATAAAGAAAGCTGACTGCCGAAGAATTGATGCTTTTGAATTGTGGTGCTGGAGGAGGCTCTTGAAAATCCCCTGGACTGCAAGGAGAACAAACCTGTCAATTCTAAAGGAAATCAACCCTTAGTGCTCACTGGAAGGACAGATCCTGAAGCTGAGGCTCCAGTACTTTGGCCATCTCATGAGAAGAAAAGACTCCTTGGAAAAAACCTTGATGTTAGGAAAGTGTGACGGCAAGAGGAGAAGGGGATGACCGAGGATGAGATGGCTGGACAGTGTCTACGAAGCAACCAACATGAATTTGACCCAACTCCGGGAGGCCGTGGAAGGTAGGAGGGCCTGGCGTGCTCTGGTCCATGGGGTCACGAAGAGTCGGACACGACTAAACGACTAAATGACGACGATCGCAAATCTGTTGCGGCTTTACAAAGCAAAAAATGCTATTGGTAGATAAAATACTTTCTAGAAGTGGAAAAGTATTTTCTTGATCTCAAATCAGCCATTTTCTATGTGGTTCATTTTTTCCACAGAAATACACTAACATTCTTTTTGCATTTCTGCACAGAAAATACTTTAGAATATAAATGGGAAACTACATTATTCCACCCTTCTTGGTGGCCTTGGGCAAGCAGCTATCTCTGCCTAACCTGTCTCACAGAATTGTTAGGATAAAGTGGGACAGTCCCACAAATGTCACCCTGAGCTACTTAGAGGAAGACTGGGTGTACAAATACAAGAATATCTCATGTACTATTAAATATGATTCATAAAATTGTTTCTATAAGATAGATAGTTGAGAATTCAGACATGCAGCAGCAGCAGGAGAAGAAACTTTCTGTTGGAAAGTATAAAGACAACCAGTATTGAGCAGTTGTTTGAAAGAAGCAACGTGAAATTGGGAAGTATGCTATTAAAGTATTGTAATAAAAAGCCCAATCAGATACAAGACAAGATTTTTTAAAAAAATTAGTGTCTGGCTTTAACAGGTAAGCTACAACCTGTACAGTAAGGTGGTTCAGTATCAGGATGCAAAAGCGAAGATAGATTTGAAGATATAAGGAAAGATAAGAGTAACCCAGTGGTTTCCAAAGTGTGCACCAAACCCAACCAGGGTCAATGTGGAATCCTCTCATCCTTTGTCAGTGGGTCTCCCTGTGTGCTGGCCAGAATCATGCCCAACACCCTGCCAATGCCCAGACACAGACCCTGGGGTGAGCCATGCCACTGTCTCCAGATTCCCGCCTGCACAGAGGAAGAGGCATAGACGGCAGCAGTGCCCTTTTTGCTCCAGGAAGGCTTCAGGATGGAGCCAAGGGAGTTACAGATCAAAAAAGTTTGGGACCCACTGCTGTAATCTGTTGAACAGTATTTTATACGAATCCTGATTTCCTTCTTCAGAAAGGCTGTATTGCTGGTCTACAGTTACAGTTTCAGCTGTGTTAATCCTTGATGTGCGCAATGTGTGATTCAAATTTTTTTCAAACATTCAAAAGTTTAGAATTTGTAATATGAATAGATTAGGTGATTGTATATTTTGTGTTCTCCTATCCTCAAAACCCTTTTTCCATCCCTTCCACTTCCCTTCACCCGTTGTATTCCCTACCCTATCTCTAGTAATTTAAAAATAAAATAATTTAATAAAAGTTTAGAATGTGTGATTTTAAACTTTTTCAAACTTTTATAAGATTTTTTTTGTTGGTGAATTTTGTTAGATCCTTAAAACCAGTTTCTAATCAAAAGCAAAATTAGAATGTGCAGATTAAGCAAGAATGTTTTGCAGTTTCCAGGAGGTTGTTTTTTAAATATTGACTTTGAAATTCATAAGTTTTTTGCTGAAATTACTTACCTAATAGCAGGTGTAGCTTGCTATTGTGATCTGTTCTAACTGTTAAATAGTTCATTTGGAGCAGTATTAAAAGAGTTTTTAAAATTGTCAGAGATTGTTGCCAAAAATATATGCCATATGATTCTCATTTTCAGGTTACAACACTGGTCAATACCAGTAATAAGGGTCCTTCCAACAAAAAAAGAGGTCGATCTAAAAAAGCACATGTTCTAGCTGCATCAGTAGAGCAAGCAACAGAAAACTTCTTAGAGAAGGGGGACAAAATTGCAAAAGAGAGCCAGTTTCTTAAAGAAGAGCTGGTAGCAGCTGTGGAAGATGTCCGTAAACAAGGTATGCATATTAGGTTTATGATGGGACCTGCATTGTTGTGACTGCCTTCTGTTCAGTGCTTGTGAATTGGTTCAGGAAAGTTAGGTAACCTACCACAGTAATCTCCCAGTGCATACATTTAAAGGAAAAGACTCTGAATGTCTTTAGCATGTTAACTTGCTTTGTTATGAAAAAGTGATTGATTTTATGTATGTAAATATTGTATCCCTTTTAATCATCATTTCTCAACCTAGTTTTGGAAAAGGGAGCTGTGTTAGTCTGTGCAAGCATATCAGGCAAAATCCAAAGAAACAAAATCAAACAGTAAAAGGACAAAATCAAAGAGTAGACAAAAACATGTGGCACCTTAAAGACTATTGTATTTTAATGTGAGCTTTCACAGACACATCTCTCTTCTCCTTCATCCTTGCTAAGGCCTGGTATCTGTTCTCTGTCTCCCTGACACAATAGTGCCATAAATTACTGCATGTAGATGTACTTCACACTTAAGATTCCTACAACCTGTGAATATTTAGAATTTTCTATTTGTGAAACTGATATTTCATCCAACATTTCTTTCTGTTTCCATATGTCTGATGAAGTGGACATGTCCGCAAAAGCTCACATTAAAACAGAGTAGTTAGATTTTTAGGTGCCACATGTTTTTGTCTTCTTTTTTGTCCTTTTTTGTTGTTGTTTCGATTTTGCCTGATTTGTTCAACATGTATGTGTAGTTTTGTCACCTGCAGCACACGGTTGCAATACCCTTACAGGTAAGTTAAGTCAAGACAGAGTGACTGATGCAGGGTCCCTAGTAAATGTTGATTCTGTCTTCATTAAGTGACATCTACAAAATACTGGTTGTTAAAGTAAAAGAGATTTCTTTTTTTTCCCTCCATGGTGATCTTGATCATTCTAGCTTTTACTGCATGGTATTGAACTGGATGATCTTACCCTGTCCTTTAACTAAAATGTCTTTATACATTCTGTAAAAAAAAATCAGTGTATAATATTGTCAGTTTTTCACAATGTGAGAATCGGTTTTTATATAGGAGGTGTGTTTATTCTGACTGAAGTGAAGTGATATAAGCCTTTTTTCATTTTGAAATATGGCAGTACAGTTCTATATTTTTAAAGAGCTCTTACTTTTAAGCAGTAATAAGCCAATCCTTAGACTTGTTCTGGCTATTTTAATGTTGACTCCAAATGCAACTATGCAACTTGATTTTGTTATTGGCTGTACTACGCGAAGTATAAACTACACTTTATATAGTGATTCTGACAACTGAAACATTGTAATTACTTCCTTGCCCACTTTGTGTGCATAGGAGACTTGATGAAGAGTGCCTCTGGAGAATTTGCTGATGACCCATGTTCTTCTGTGAAAAGAGGGAACATGGTGAGGGCAGCCCGTGCTCTCCTGTCAGCAGTTACCCGGCTGCTTATTTTGGCTGATATGGCAGATGTGTACAAGCTGCTTGTTCAACTCAAAGTTGTAAGTACCAATAAATATGTAGCTTTCTGTCTCTGCTGTGTGTGATGAACATCTGTTGGGCTTTATTGCGACTTCACAAAAAATATCAAGAACCACATTCATAACATTTAGTGGTGAGGCGACAGAAAAAGTTTTTTTTAAGTAACCGTCATTCAAGCAACTTTTATACGTTCCTTACAGACCTTGTTTTCAATGTAGGGGAGATTTTTTTAAAGGTCAGAATAGGATGAAAGTGGCAGTTTGTTAGCATTGGCAGCAGGGACACATGAAATGGTTAGGGGACATGAAGCCATGTGTTGACCACTCCTGGTATATATTACTGAAGGCATGCAGAATAGCTTTCTAGAAATGAGTGCAGGGTTTTACTGACTTATGACTGCTGCCTTAATGTCTTTCATGTTCGGGGTTTCTTTGGACTGTTTGTTTGACCATTATTGTAAACAAGAACAATTCTGTTACCATTCCATTACAGACTTTGGATGAATGTTCTTGGTCCATGAAGCTAGTCTAGAGTGCTAATGCCATCCATTTAAAGAGGTTCATAAAGTATTCCCAATGCCTACCTCTAAACCAAGTTGCATGTCTGTGTAAGTTAGGGGTCGGGGCAACAACACATTTTCATTGCTTCACTGCTCTGGTCTTAAAAATTACTGTTGATGTGTTTTTAGAGTACATATTGAAATGTTACATAGCCTGTACTATTTAAAATCTGATTTAATCCTTTAGGTAGAAGAAGGCATCCTAAAATTAAGAAATGCTGGTACTGAACAAGATCTAGGAATACAGTATAAAGCTCTTAAACCAGAAGTGGATAAGCTTAATATAATGGCAGGCAAGAGGCAGCAGGTTAGTAACAATTTGCATATTTTCACACATGTGGTTGATTGCTTGTGTACTGGCATAATATTTGACAATGTATAATCCATAAACTAAAAAGGTAAAGGTTCCCCTTGACAATTTTTGTCCAGTCGTGTTCGATGCATATTTTCACACATGTGGTTGATTGCTTGTGTACTGGCATAATATTTGACAATGTATAATCCATAAACTATTGCAGTCAAAATAGTCAAATGGTAACAATTTACTGCCTTGTAACAGGATGCCCCAAACTTATGTGTGTGGATAATAAGAGCCTTTCATTTTGACCAAAGTAGAAGTTATCAGCTGTAAGAAACCTGGACAAAGTGCTCAGTCAATTCAGCACCTTCTTCCTAGGTTATGTCATAGAAGATTAATATTGCAGGAGAAGTTGGTGTGGGAGGATGTAGCTAGTTTCATACAGAGGCTACAACTTGATCAGGTAAAGGATATACAGTATCTGAAAAGAAGCAGAAGATGCAAAGATCTCCTGTGCTATAGAAAGTTAGGAAGAAAAATGAACTTGGGGATGTGAGATTACCTGCATCCTACTTTTAGAAATTGGTTCTTATCTGTCATGAGTATTTTTCCCCTATACTACTCTGCCAATGTAACTTATAGGTATGTATTATTGAGAGTTGTTCAGGTAAATTATGATGAATTCATAACATGAATCTGCTGTCTCTCCCTCAGATATAAGGGAAAGGGAAACCCTTGGCACATTTAAGGGTAACACGGCCTTTGTCTTTTTCCTAGAATGCAGAAATTCACTTTTTGCAAACTTGTGCAAAACATTTGTTTGGAATGAAGTAATTGTGAATTAAGGATCTATGTTTAGTATTGTACTGAAAAATTGAGCTCTTGATCCTTCTGTTTAAAAATATTCAGCCCTGAGTCCTCTCAAAATTTTTTTTCACATTATAGATGTAGAATAAATGGTTCTTTTGTTGTTTTAAATAGGAGCCAGAAATCCTTGCTGATTTACTGCAGACCAGCCACAGATTTTTTTGGTAGATCCCAGTCAACCTTTTGCCTAACATTGTTTTAAAAGACCAGCTGAAAATTGTGAGGAGAAAAAACCTGCAGCCAGGAACCAAGGACAGATCTGATATAGAAAGGGAATTGTATTGGATTTTGCATAGGTCCTCCAATTCTTTGGAGCCATTAATCGTCACTTAAAACCATTAGAAAAATATTGGGGAAAAATTAAGTCACTCTCCCTTCCTGTCAAAAGAATAAATAAAAACAAAGTATTAATTATTTATCTAAACTTATATACCGGCCATCTAGAACATGTCTACTCTGGGTGGTTTACACAAAATATAAAAAAAACTATGAAAATATAGATGTAATAAGAATAAGACACAAATTAACAATAGAATCCAAGATGACAAAAAAGAAAAAAGAGAAATATGCTAGGTCAGGGGTTATCAACCCCCGGTCCGCGGCCTGGTGCCAGTTCGTGAGCTTGGCGGAACTGGGCTCTGGATATGCCCACGTTAGGTGCGTTGCACCTGCGGGGTGGGGGTGTCAGGCTTGCACAGGGGGCGTGTCACATGCCCCCCCACATGGAGCTCGCTCCCCCCAGCTGGTCTGCAGCCCCAAAAAGGTTGGGGACTGCTGATAGGCTTAGCTCCCATTCTTCTTTAAAATCCTATCAGAATGGGAATAAATTATATTACTGGCACAAATCTGAGTAAATGGCATACTTCAGTTAATTATACTTATGTAGATTTCAAGGATCTTACTGCAGAATTCTGACTGACTGGTTAGGTGTCATGACCTAGGAATAACTTTTGTGAACCTTTATAGAGAAGTGGACATATCAAGCTTTGTAATCATGTAAATGAAATACTTGTTTGAGTGGCATCTGACTAAGCTGCTTTTGCTCATACTTCCTTTCCCATACAATAGAGTGATTAGAATATCTATCATAATTTCTGTTAATGAAGGCTGAATGTTTGGGACTCTGTGGTCGCACTTTCATTGCATTTGGAAGTCTATGGGGTTGTTATATCTCCTGACTCATGCTGCACTATACTTACTCAGAGGTAGCAACGTGCAGTGCTTTTTCATTATGACAGGATGAACATGATAAATTATATTGTTTTTATCTCTAAACAAAGAATATTGCTGTTTGAAATATTGTCTGCAGGAGTTAAAAGACATTGGCCACCGTGATCAGATGGCTGCAGCCAGAGGCATTCTTCAGAAAAACATTCCTATACTTTACACAGCTTCTCAAGCATGTCTCCAGCACCCAGATGTAGCTGCTTACAAAGCCAATAGGGACTTGATCTACAAGCAGTTGCAGCAAGCAGTCACAGGAATCTCTAATGCAGCCCAAGCAACAGCTTCTGATGACTCTGTCCAACATCAGGGTGGTGGTGGAGAATTGGCTTATGCACTTAACAACTTCGATGTAAGTAGGATTTTTACAATCTGGATTTTTGCAGTTGCCTGGAAGCATTTAGACCTCTGAAGGCATGATAGGTAGCCATTTGTTTGACTTATACGGGGCTGGTTCAGATACTTTCAGTTTAATTTGAATTGGTTATTATTTGCTATATCAAATTTAAAATGTAACTTTGTGAGGCTCTGATAACAAAACCATGTTTCTATTAAGAAACTTGAGGCTCTGTGCGAGAACGAATTATGACATGTCTAATGAAAACATTTGGAGACTTACGGATGGCCGGACCAGTATCTTGCCTCAATAAGCTATGTTCCTTACTGCATTATGTTGAAATGGAAAATTATCTATGACAAGGCTCTTATAGTGAGGTCCAGCACATGGTTTCATACAAAAAGTAACTGGAAAGCGGGAATATATATATTTTCTTATAGTATGATAATCTTTATAGAAGAGTTGAATATATATGACCCAAATTTTGCCTGATTTAAGTTAAGAGGCAAAGTGCCTATTATCGTCTCTTTTCCTTTTCTTGATGTAAGTAAATGCTTACTATTAGGTACCCATTTACCTCATCCTTTGTGGATGTTTTTCAGTGTTTGCCTGCAGTTTTTTTCTTACCTTTTTGGCTCCACCCTGGTTTCATCGAGTTTCCTGGTAGACTGCATATTCTACCATTTGTAATTGTCTTGTCTTTTGCTTTTCAAATTTGTCTCTGTAAATCCATTTTTTTCAATCTATTCTTTTTTATGAGTGATTGATTTCACAGATGTGGTCACCTGTGAGAAGAGTATAGTTTCTGAATCAGTGTCCCTCATCCTTTTCTTTGGGAAAGTCTGGGACTTCCTGAGACTCAGTCCTGAGTCTTAGAAATACTTGGAAAGTACTAAGATATCCTGCTCCTTTCGGAATCATTCCGAGATTTAGTGCAACAGGGATGAGCTCCCACATCCTTTACCAGTCTTGAGGAGATCAATGTACATACACATCTCTCTGACTAGCAAAATGTGCACATTTGCCCATTGTTCATCATAAGCTGTCCAATGTTCCCTTCTCTTTGTATTCTACTAAATAGTGCACAGTCTGTTCTGTCTATTCAACTGTGTACATGAATTGTTCTGAAACACCTTTTTTTCCTCCAACATTTCCCCCTTTATCTATAGGCCTAGCCTCCTCCATTTACTGCTTCCTAAAACTGTTGCTCATATAGCCTTGTCAACATATGTAATAGTTTATCTGAGAAAAATAAGCAGAAGGGCACGTTTCCAACCTTTAAATTTTTATACCTTGTAAAAGTTACAGACATCTTAATGTACAGAAATTGTGGCTCTATCCTTAATGCCATTTTATGAAAATGAAGGTATTTACCCTTTTAATTTAGTCATCAAGCAATCCAGTTTTATGTACTAAATCTGGCTGAGAGGCTGAGTAGAGCAAGAGCATTAAGATTGGAAAGAGGGGCCAAAATGTGAATTGGAGGAGATGGCATAATATGATAAATTGGGAAGGGAAGGACTAGACAGGAGTTTGAGAAAGAAAAGCTTAGATCATAAGCTCCTTAGAATAGAATATATTGATATTATTATCAATATTGTGATAAATGTAAAGAAGGAAGGATATTTTTTTCTTAGAAGCAGCAGGCAGCATCCAGTGATGTTGCACTGTTCACAGGACTCCACCTGGGAACGGACAATATTCAGTGATGTCAGATACAGAAATGTTTAACACTCAGACTGATGAAGTTCATCTTAGATTAAAAACATAGGAAGGAATGTTCCTGTAAATATATGTAAGAAGTTTATTTTAATACTGAGTTCTTACATAACACATTATCATAATGATACACAGTCTGCAACTATATGCTAATTTTTCTAGGAATAAGTACCATTGAATTCAGCAGGGCTTGTTTATGCTAAACATTGTTACAATTAAAATAATTGAATACAGAATTAAGTATCTTGAAACCACATCTATTTTTCCTCCTTTGTCTCAAAATATAATGTATTTAAAATACACAGCTGCCATATATATGGTTAATGTCTTCACTTAACATTTGAAAGACTTCTAGTTTGTCATCTGAAGTTGTTCTTTGTGCTTCAGAAATTAAAATGTTTAAACAAACTAAAACAAATGTCTTGGTTTTCTCACCTTTTGTTGTTCCGTTTTCAAACATTTATCCATATTTTAGCTGATGCTGTATGAAGGCTTCAGTACCATATTGATGAAGCAATCTTACTGATTTTCACATCTGTACCCCTGCATAGAGATGGGCATGAACTGCATGTTCGTTCTTTGACAAACTGGTGTTGAGTGCTTCCCAGCCCCGCCTCCACCAGGAGCCCACTCAGAAGTGCCCCATCTTTCCTGTCTCCTCTGAGCTCTGCCCCTGAGTGGGTACCCACCGGAGGAGGCGGCACTGGGAACTGCTGAATACCTGTTTGTCCGAAGGATGAACCAGCAGTTGGTGACCATCTCTAACCCTGGACCAAATAAGAGGTTTCTGTATTCTAGAACAGTGGTTCCTGACCTTGGGTAATTTGGATGTCCTTGAACTGCAACTCCCAGAAATCTTCACTACTAGCTATGTTCACCAGGGATTCTGGGAGTTGCAGTCCAAGAACACCCAAGTTACCCAAAGTTGAGAACTACTGTTTTAGAACATTACAAATTATTTTGCCAGCATGAAAATCTTGCCAGTGTTAATTGTTTAATAATCCACAGCTAGTGTATTTTTTATCTTTGAATATTTAATCTAAATTATTTGAAAAGTTACAATATGGAATATCTGTAGCAATGTCTTATCAAATAGTAACACTTCAAAAAGTTATTTTCATTATTCTTGTGCAGGGAGGCAGGAACACGAGGTTTGGGGTTTATTTATATTTTCCAGTCCTTCCAAAGATTCACACACACCCTTCCATTTCAAGCTCTGGCGGGAATTGTGGAGCTTTGATCCTAATTTTTTCCAGGCTTTTAGAACTACAGTATTCTAGAATTTAGAGAAGCTACTGAGGTACCAGGATTTGCATGTCCTTTCAAAGGGGTTCCTGAACACAAATGAGAGAAATCTGTTGACAAGTCTTCCTCTTCCACTTTCCTCTTAGTCAGCAGTATGTGCTTGTCCTTCAGTCCTATATAAACTGTTTTGTAAGCCAAGCAGAATTTCCTCTGTACAAGGTCCTCATTTTTGCCAATTTATGGATCTGTTAGAAACACACAAGGGTACTGTATCTTTTATCTGTCCACCCAAATTAGTATGATCATGAATGCTCCAAGATACTACAGCAGCTCTGATATCTAAAGTGGCTTACAGTTGACTGTGTGGTTTGGGAATCATGTGCATACAACTGAGAGCCCCCAAAATGTTTGGTGTGATGACAATTCTGGAAAATTCTATGTTGCAAAAAATATATTCTGGGCTTTTAGTTCAGATAAACACAATAAACCTATGGGCTTTGAATTTGATATTATGCATTAGCATGACTATTTCTGTTTTTGTATTGTTTATATAAAAATAACCAGGGGTGATTGAGGTAGGATTCCCCCCCCCCTTGAATAAGAATTTGTATAATCTCATTAAATTGAACCTGTAATCCAGGAATTATTGGACCCTGTTTACAAAACTTTACCAAAAATTTGAATGAATATTTTCTATCATATAACATTAGAAATTATAATCCTTTTTTCATTATTCGTAAGATCATTTGTTGAGCTGTAACATATTATAAATTCAAGCATCCATTACATAGGGTTTTACATTGGTGCCTCACAAGACGATTGCCTCGCGGGATGATTAATCTGCAAGACGATGGGGTTTTGTGATCGCTGTGGCGCTTCACAAGACTGTTTTTCCTATGGGTGTCTTTCGCAAGACGATGTTTTGGTCTATGCTTCGCAATACGCTTTTTTTTTTTAGACCGATGCTTCACAAGACGGTTTCCCCCACCCCCATTGGAATGCATTAACTACCGTATTTTTCACTCCATAGTGTATTATGGAGTGAATACTGTAAAAAATGGTTCAAAACCTCTTCAGCAACCCCCACCCAGAAACCTCCCACAGTTCCACCACTGTGCCAGAAGGCCTCCAAACCAGCACGAGAGGCTGCTCACTGTGGCACCTGCATTGGACATTGCTGCTCTGCCAGGCCCAAGGTTGGGGATCACTGCACTAGAGGATTGTAGGAGGCACACCCAGCCCCTGATTGGGGTCCCGCGGGGCACCCCAAAACACTGAGGAGCTCTCTTGGCCTCTGGTGGGACTGAGGCTGTGCAGCCCTGTTCTGAGCGGAAGGTATAGCCGGGGGGGGTCACCATGCCTTGGAGGGACAGGCCACAGAAGGGGGCAGGAGGTGCAAGGGCCACTCCAACTCACACCTTGCAGGGGAAATACCATGGTCATGAAAATGGTTTTCCCAGGGAGAGGCTCATCCGTTGCACTTCAGGTGTGCTGATCCCTGTGATTTCCCCAAATGTGGGGAACTCAACTGCATAACTTGTGGTAATGGGGGATTGCATTTGTGTTTTCCCTGGTCTTTCTGGAATCCTTTTGATCTCTTTTTCCCTCATCAGGACCTATTGCAAAGGCAGCAAGTCCTGGTGATGTCTTGTATTGCATTCTCCCTCTTTTTCTCCCCAGTGGCAAAGGATCAGGGCAAAAGGAGTCACCATGATCAGGAGCCAGGGGGCTGCTTTGACTCCTTTCACCTTCTTTCTTTGCTGCTGGAAAGAGAAAGAGGGGGAAGGCCATCTGAGCCCCACTGCATTTCCAAAGGCAGTGCAGGTGAGGGGACAGCTTTTCCCCAATACGGTAGATTTCAGTGCATTCCTATGGGGAACTACATTTCACAAGACAATGTTTTCTATGGACAGTTTTCTCAAGACAGCGATTTCCCCCCCCATTGGAACGCATAAAATAGATTTCAATGCATTCCTATGGGGAATCGCGTTTTGCAAGACGATGTTTTTGCAAGACAGCGATTTCCGCGGAGCGAATTAAAATGGTCTTGCAAGGCACCACTGTATTTCAAAACAGAAATAATTTTAACAATAAAAGTTTAAAAATAATGTTTTTAAAAAGTCCAATTTAAATTAAGAACTTCATTTAAAACTTTGGTTTATTTTACTAATTCTCACTTGTATCCCGACAGAAAGCATAATGCTACATTTATTTTAAAAGAAACAGTTGAAATTAACAGCTTGGGTTTATTCTTGCAATTCTCCAAACTCCTTCATCTATAGTTGGGGCAGTAAGATATTTTGAACTGGCATTGTTGGAACATCTGTAACTTGGTGCTGTTGGATAGGATTTTGGGAATATGTATGAGGAGGGAGATGGATTTTGTGTATTTGGCTGATAATAGCACCAGTTTTGTCAGTCAGAGTTTACGCATTAAGCTGTTGCAGAGTTGCTATCTCCATAGCTGTTTCCAGAGAGAAGGGAAATTTAGTGAATGTTACCTCAAAAGCCTCCATGAGTTAGGTGTCTGGCTGTGGAGCCATAGGTTGGGAGTTCAATTCCCTCCTGTGCCTCTCAGAAGAGTCAGCCTGTATGGCCTTGGGCAAAACTGCACAGTCCCAGGAGAAGGGAATGGTAAATCACTTATGAGTACTATCTATTTAGAAATCCCTGAAAACGGTTGCCATAATTCAGAATTGACTTGACAGCCCACAGTAATTATTGTCTCAAACAAAAGATTACATTTTCAACATACAACTTTTTAACATTCCTTTCCTCTCACTTTTCCAATGACACTTCTTCCAGCTGTGTTGGCAAAGTGACAGAGGAGGAAAAAGAAACAGTCACTCTCAGATACATGGAGTTTGATTATTTGTGGGAATGATGGGCGTGATAGTGGGATTCTGTCACATGAGGCTTTATTATGCAATATTTGCAGTGATTATAACTGACAGTACTAAACTTTAGATATGTGATAGTGCATTCTAGCTAATCGTCAGAAATATGAACCTTTCTAAAGGATAATTGGGTACAGCAAAACTCTTTTCAGTAATAAACTTGCAGAATGAGTATTAGTTCTTAAGTGCTTAGGAGACACATTTCATGGGCATGATGTATGCTAACATAAACCATTTAGAAGTTTCTGGAATTGACAGATCCCAACATCTTGTCAGAAGCCAGCTTTTAACACAGAAATAATCGGGGGGGAGGATGGTGGAATCACTGGCGTGGCTCTAACTTGGTATAACCTGAACTGCTACATATTAAACTGAAAAGTCTGCTCTGCCTGAAGGAATTAAGTTGATGATGTAGTACTTTGTTCTTTCCAGTCTAATTAAGGAGAATTGGGAAACTAGGTAGATTTTGAGCTTATTGCTGTTTTATATCTATAATGATGGAAAAGATTAATTCTCCTTAATTCTGGGCAACATGTTCAGTATAATGTCTCCAGCACTGTCGTTGTCACATGTGAATTGTATTCCCTATCATGACCCTGTATTCCCCTCAGAAGTATTCAGGAAGGCTGATCCAGAGTAGCATATCACTTATTAAGAGTTTGTAAACTTTTCTTTTGAACAGAAACAAATTATTGTGGATCCTTTGAACTTCAGTGAGGAGCGTTTCAGGCCTTCCCTGGAAGAGCGCCTGGAGAGCATCATTAGTGGTGCAGCCCTAATGGCTGACTCATCCTGCACACGTGATGACCGACGGGAACGCATAGTTGCAGAGTGTAATGCAGTGCGACAGGCCTTGCAAGATCTCCTTTCAGAATACATGGGGAATGTGAGTAACCATTGTCTGTGTTGTGTGTTATTTTTTGTTTTTATTGAACTTCATGGTTCTAAGAGGAACAGTGAAACTGTAAGGCTTGCATTTGAATAGATAGCATCTCTTTATAAATATGTCTAAAAACCAGATTAAGCCATTATCCCCCTATTGTCCCAGAGATACTCTTTACTGTATCAGTATAACATACTGTAACAGTATAACATCATCAATAATCCATGCTGTTTGACTTAAAGGTTGGAGGAAATTCAGGTATGTTATAAGGTCTTCTGGAGTAGAACGGTTTCTAGGCCTAAACTAATGTTTTACAATCTAGAATTGTATAAGTACTGTTTTGTACAAAAACAGAGATTGAAATGGATCTTAAATGTGGCAAACATACAGCAGTGGACGGCAGTGTGTAGTAATCATGAAGTATAGTTGTCTCTTCCTTGTAAACATTTGCACCACACTTATTTTTCTAAAACAGCACAGTTGTTGCCCTGAAATGCAAGTCTGCCAACAATGCAACATTTTAATAGTATGATTCTTTATTCCTGAATGTGAAGCAGCCCCCTTTCTCTCTGCCACACAACTTCCACTTTGGGCAAATGGCATTTTCCCATAAGATATAGATAGTTACAAATATATTGTCCTTTAGAGATATGGCAGTGCATAATGAAATATCTTATCAAGGTTTCACATAGTCCATTATATTACTCAGTTTGTTCATCAGGTGTTATTTGAAACATATATATGAGTATATGATGGGGATCAAAGCAACTGAAAAAGTTACCATATTTGCAGTTCAGAAATGACTTCATAATTAAAGATGTATATTCTTCCATTTTTAGCTTAACTGAAATAATGAAAAAAATGAAATCTGTTTGCAAATACTGTAGAGTGTTTCTGTTCATTCCACATAGTGTAAAACGTTTCAGTGTGATAACTGCAAGAGTCATGGCTGCCCCTTGTCTGTTAATATAATATGTTGAAAATTCTTTATCTTCTATCAAATGCAGAATAAGAATATCAAATATTTTTATAGCTAGGGAATATTGGCACATTTGCAATGATAATTTGCAAATACATTTAAAAAAAAAACTTTGCTTTAGCTCAAGCAACAAATGAGGGGTGCCAATGTTATTGTTGCAGGATCATGTCAAGGAGAATAATGGAAGAAAAGATGTGAGCAGTTTGGGGAGCTGCATTGTAAGCTAGCTCTTGCTTAGAAAAGAACTGTCTTTTGAGTATACACCCCTGAACCTTATGTGATAAGCTTTCTTACATTTTGTAGATTAGCCAGTATTTTTTCGCAGCTTCTTCAGAAGGCTAGTTAAGTGAAATGCTTCATGATAAATTATTTGTTTCAGCAACTGGCTGTTGTTTATTGGTTTTCATAGCTGCAATCAGAGGTGACCTCCAGCCCAACCTCAACTTGAGCAAAACAAAGCAACAAAAATCAAAGGAGTAAAACAAATTCTTCATCATTAAATTGCTGTTTAGGGTTAGGCTTAGGTGGGAAGTGGAAAAGGAATTACAAAAAATAGGTGGGAGGGAACTGGGCTGGAAGTAAAGGAAAAGTTGAAAGATATTAATAGCATAGAGGAAGAGGTTGAAAGGGGAAGCATGATCAGAAAGGAAATGGGAGGGAGAGAGAAAAAGAGAAATGTGCAGCAACAAGTCCTATGGTTGGGAGATGTCTTTGTGTGTGACAGTACTACTGCTGATGGGTGATACTGTACTGCATTTCTGACTTAATACTGTAGACAGGAAAACACTTGGCATAGATTCTTAGATAGTGTTTTCTGCTAAGCCAACTAGCCCCTTTTTAGAAGAAAGGCTAAGGCTTTGAGAAGAACTATGGTGTTATAAACATTTCATATACATTTTTCCTTAAGAGATGCAGGATTTCTTTCAGTTTAAGTATAAAGATGTTAGCAACCAAAGGAATGTATAATATAAAACACTGCCTGCATGAAAAAACTCAAGGAATAATTAATTGACATAAGAGCAGTATTTAAAATCATCCTGTGATGATTTAATGTCTGGGAGCAGAGAGGTAGTGCATATTCAGCCAAGTGGGAAAAAAATTTAAATTGCCCCCTTTCTGTAAAATATTGTAAATATGGAGAAGTACAGGAGCGATATGTCAAAATAACCAAGACTAACTAAAAGGGGAAGAGGGAAAGGCTAATGGGGTATTTCAACCCAGGTGCCTTAGGGCTGTAAAAAGCATTACACCCATTTACTGCATTCATAAAAGGTTCACCATCAAACCTCTGTCGTCTGTTTAATTGCTTTGTAGGTTAGATATTTTCATATGAGTTATAAGAGTCGCACCAATTTTACTTTCCAGATAAGCTAAGTTTCTTATAATTACACATAGAAAAGGAACATTTTGTGTAGATATTCTAACATTAAGCTCTTCTGTAAATCTTAGAAATGCTGAAATATAATGCAAATACTTGGAAATGAGAAAGGAAATTCATTGATGTCTACTCATTGGTCTATAACATAGATTATCTCTTTCCAGCGCTTCATACCACTCAGATGTTGCTTGTGGTACAGCCATTGGACCTGGCACACTGTAGAGGAACACATTTGAATAAGAGTTGATTTAGTTAAAGCCAGAATTCTGATTTAAGGCTTGTTTGAAATTTAAATAGTTTATATTTCCGTTTCTAAGACATTTTATAAATGAAGTAGGAATTAAAAGAAGCTAATTTCAGAGATTTGAATCTAATTTACTTCCAAATTCTGGATTTCTTACTGCTGAGTTCCACTTCATGATGCCCTGACATAGTGTGCATAGCTGCGGCATGAAATTTGGATTTTATTTTTGTTTCACAGAGAAGGTTGGGACGTATACATGGAAAGCTTTCAAAAATGTAAAAATTGATAATGAAATCTCATCAACTAGAATAAGAAGAGAAGTTTCATCAGCCCAGTTTGTCTTCTGGTTAAAGTGGAAAGAAGCAGAATTCTCAGACAGAAAATGTTGGTTGAGGAAGAACCAAAATAATTTTTGCAAAATAAAAACTCAGTTCTGGAGTTCTTTGAGGGTATCATCCAACATGTAGATGGAATTAGTGGAAGAATGTACTTCAACACTCAGCTTTAATAGGATAGCAAAGTTGTATGTGAAAAGCCAATGAGAACTTAACTACGTGGTGCCATGCATAATGAGCGCACCATTTAACGACAAATCTGTTTAGATAGGGCAAAGATCACATTGCGATGATCGGTAAGCGTTTCGCTTGCCAATCTTCACATTGTGATGTTTTTAGAACAGCTGGTCAGCGGTTCCAAAATGGCCGCCACATCAACAAAATGGCCGCCACAAGCATTTTCGCATGCTGCCCTTGCTTACTGAGGCGGTGAAAATGGCAGCGCTATGGAGGACCTTCGGATAACAACGTTTTATGCGTTCCTATGGGGTTTTCGCCCCCGCATAGCGATGTTTCCGGATAGCGACGATTAATCCAGAACGAATTAACGTTGCTATGCGGGGCACCACTGTATTTGTGATATGAGAGAACAGGGTTTATAAAGTAATAACTAGATTAGAAGATGGGCAGTACACGATTGTAATGAAGTGAACCGTTAACACAGTTTGAGGTGCAAGCAACAAAGTACACTAAAGGTCAATAGTTAGAGGAATGAGAAGAGGGTGAGATCTCTGTCTCAAGACATTTTACAGGTAGAAGTATCTGCAACAGTGCAAATGTTAGAGTCACAGTAGCTATTTCTTTTAAAGCATTCCTTAATTTCTTCTGTGTTCACAGTTGACAAGGCAGTTTCTGCTTCATTAAGACATAGGCTTCCCTAATACTGTTAATAATGGCCAGTGTCTAAAGCTCAGTGTGCTTGTTCTACTTTTGTATAGGTTTTTAGCTTTTCCCTTGTGGATGATATATGTGCTCTACTTGGGGTGCTCTAAGGCAGGACATAATGATAGCTGCTGCCAGACAGAAAATCAGTCACTTTCTTTTCAGCTCCTTCATTCATTATCTTTGGATCTCAACTAACATAATCCATAATTGCTTTCTGCCTCTTCTAATGTTCACCAACTTCCAGATCATCCAGTTGTAGCAGACAATAATATCCATAAATGCAATTTTTGAGAAATCAGCATGACATTTTCATTTTCAGTTCAAGTGTTTGGATTAATAAGAAACCTAATGATAAAATGTCAGCCCAGGAAACCCAGCAAAATGTCATCTAAGACAGTCTAATATTCAACAGATATGCTTGTGCATAGAAAGTTGCTGCGCTATAGGCATTTGTGTTTTAAGACAATGTGTATTCTCCCCAGTAAGAAAATAGAAACTGATTTTTTAAAAAACTCACTTGGTCACCCCTCAGCAATACAGCTTTCATTTGAAAAAAGGACTTTAGATGTGTCCTAAATTGGGCAAATCTGCTGGGACTTTAGTTGTGAACAGCAAGTAGTTCCTGATATCTTAATCCAAATTTGAATATTCCTGCCAGTTTCAGAAAAAGAAAGGGAGGATTTGTCATAATGGCATTTAGGTAGACTTTTAGCATGTCCAGACTTCTTTTGCTGTTTTTATGTCTAGCACGGTGTACCTATTTTTATATACTAAAGAGTGATGTGATAGGTTGCAAAATAATAATGATCCCTTTAATTCCACAAAATTGCTGCTTATTTTGTACAATTTAATAATAATTTAAAAGTCAAGACAGAATTCTGATATGTTATTCGCATAATTGGGACTCTTCAGCAGTTGCAAACTCCAGTTTTACTGGGGGGGGGGTTAAGGTGTGGGCCTGACACATATGGAAAGTTCATCAGCATTTCAGCATGCTGAATCAAAATCATGTTTTAAAGCAGAACATTGATGGTGAATACTACCACTGATATGCCACTACAGTTATTATGCTGTTCCTCAGCCCTGACCAGGTTGACCCAAATTTCTTTCCTAGTTTTCCCAAGATAAGTACCCCTCCACTTGCAGTGAATTTCAGGGAGCTCTAGAACTGGTTTTCCACATGTGTAATTTTCTTCAAAAGTGCTATGCAAGAAGTGCCAAGATTCCCTTCTCCCTGCCCTTTGCCACAAAGGAAATAGAGAAAGTGAAGTGGTGGAACTTCTGGTTCTCAGCCCCCTTCAGAAGTTTTGGACTTCAGTAAATTAATCTCGGTATTGTCACAAGTAGCTCAAGAACTACAGGAGACCTCATTAGATATTGCAGTCAAGAAGTAACGTTGACAGATGTTTAGTTAGTGCTCAGGAGAGAGTGTGTTCCTGAGAGAGGGTAGATTATTTCAGAGCATGACGTAATGCAGGCTGTTATCATAATCCAGAATGTACAGACATGTGGTGCACATATGTTAAGCAAACACCCAGTACTTTTCAAAGTAGAAGCAAAATAAAGAGTACTGCAAACCAGATAGGTAACTATTGTGGAGTGCTTTGTCCTTGGTGTATATTTTGGGGGATTCTAAGCATTTTTAAGTTTGGAACTCTGCTTCAGTGGAATAAAGAAAAGTTGTACTAAAGTGAGAGATCTAGAAAGTGAAATGAAGAATAAGCTTAAAATTCTCAAAATAGTTGTTCTTATATATTCTGCATGCCTGTTGCTGTGTTTGCCCTAAAGCAAAGTTCCATGTTTATCTGTTACTAAATAAATCTTGAATACATGAACACCAAACATATTTCTGATATGTTACTCTCAGTTCTGTTTCTTATACCTTTGTGGTATAATCCCCTTCTAAACTGAATAGTCAACTCTTTTAGTTCGCCACATCTCTGCTTGGAGCACTCCCTCTAGTTTTTCATGATGTCCTGGTTTAATGCTAACCTGTGGTTCAGCATTAAATTTATGAGCCCCAGGCTTGTGCATACGGTCTTCCTCCCTGATCCTCTGACACAGTTGCAAGGAGGCGATTATATGATTTTACTTCTGTTTTTAAGCTGTTAAACATACTGTTGCTTCTCAATCCAAGTAATGTCTGTTTTAACAGTTTTGCTTCATAAACAAGTCAAAATTGGGTTGTTTTGCGAATCATTATTAAAGTGAACCATAGTATGCTTGTGTCTAGACACAAATACTGTTAAGCCACCTTGGATTGGATCCATTTTAAGGAGAGAGGTGGGGGTAAAAATATTTTAAGTAAATAAATAATATATAGGGCACTATGGCTTGTTAAAAGAAAAATATGTTACTGTCCTTAATGCAGCTTTGTAGGAAAGAGGGAGAACTGACAAGGCCAGTGTTTGACCAGTGCAAAACTTTAGTTTAGCACTGTGTTAGAACCACACCAAGGTGTTACATTTTCATTTTAAGACAGGAGAAAAGTGTATTCAGGCCCAGTCGCCCTCTTCTCTCCCCAAAAAATGTGTAGGCACAACAACCGAGAACGCTAATTGTCCTGTGCTGTGGCATTAGAGGAAGGCACTGAAAATTCGAATCTATAGGCATGTTGAAATCTAACTGCTTTAAGTTTGCATGTCAGGAAATTGAATCATTTGCACTTCTTTGGCTCCTGTTTATGAAAAGAGGACAAGACCTGCTTTACCTAACTTAAAAGAGTTATCAAAACAATTAACAGCATTCACAGGCATTAAAGACATGCCAAATAAACATAGGAATCTTCTTCATACCTAACATTGTATGGTACTTGTTCCTAGATCACCAGAGATTATTTTCCTAAATACGTTTAAAAGTATATCCAATAGGATTCCAAGACTTTTATCTATAAGGATTTAGGCTTGGGTTCCAGGTAACCAGCTCTTTTTGTGCATGTTAGAAACTTTAGATTTTCAGTTTAAAATATTAAGAAAAGTAAGTTCCTTTTTGTAAGCCCACCAATGCTATACAGTGGTACCTCAATTTAAGAACTCAATCCGTATTGGGACTATGTTCTTAAGTCAAAATGTTCTTAAGTCGAAGCACCATTTCCCATAAGAATGCATTGAAAACCATTTAATCCGTATCTGTTGTTTTTCATTCTTAAGTCAAGGCGCTGTTCTTAAATCGAGGCATTAGTCCCCATAGGAACTAATTCAAAGCTGATGAATCCGAATCTACCACTAGGGGGTGATTTTTTCCCTTCTTTTGACCTAAGATGAACTTAGGTCAAAAAAGGGCAGGAAATGTTGGGGTTTATTTGTTTGTTTGTTTTTGTTCTTAAGTTGAGGCTCCGTTCTCAGGTCGAAGCAACTTTTTGCAAATGGAGCTGTTCTTAACTCGAATCATTCGTATGTAGGGACATTCTCAAGTCGAGGTACCGCTGTAATGGGATCTTATCACTTTGCTTCTTTCTTGTTGTAGTCCTTTGTTCAATTGTTCATTATATCTTTCAAAAATAGAGGCATTTGGTAAGAGATGGGTTTAAGAATTACATATGCAACATGTTTTTATTATCCAGGTCACTGAAGTGAGAAGATTGTCACTTAATGCAAAAACTTGTTCATGGGAAATAAAATTTGAGACTGCTTCACAATCTGCTGTTTTGATGTTTCAATAAAATCCTCAATAAATCAACTTCCTGCAAATAAAAGTGGAAAATTCAGAAATACTTGTAATCTTGTTACAGAACTATTTCAGTTAGAGGCAAATGGCCTGTTGGGTTAGCAAAGATTTTGAAGGACAGTAAGTATTTTTCTTCACCAGCTTAATATGTTTGCAGGTGAAGGTAACTTGCATGGCAGTAGGAAATTCTTACTTCATATCCAAGTCTAACTGTGTGTACTAGAAAAGTATTTGATTTGAATGAGATTTAGGCTTCCTCAAGAGGAAGAGTCCTTTGGGTTAAAAAAAGTTGCAGTTGTTTCTTATACTGCTTTGGAGAAATGGCTGCTGTTAGAATAGGCTGTTTCCATGGGGGCAGTCATTTCTAAAATTCTAGCACAGTGCACATGCATGTTGTCATAGGTTTGTTGTTGCCAACAAAAATCTGTGTATTTTGAAAATTTGATAAAATATGAATAGCTCTAATATCTTAATGTTCTCTTGTGTATATTAGCATAGCACAGAATAACAGTTTCTAGATGTGACTTGGTATTTATTCATTATTGTTTGTAGCATATCTGCTTTTCATTATGGTATACATTGTTAGAGAAGATAGAGTTCTTAGAAACAGAAAGTTGTTTCCATGTTAACTCTGATAAGTAACTTCCTTCTACAAGAGAACATGCTAAATAAGAAAATATTTCACAGAAATTTATAAATGTACGCACTGCACATCTTAGCTCAGATTTTTAGTCTTTATATGCTTGCAATTCAATATATGAGAGCCTGTTACAAATTGTATTCATGAAAATCTTGGGCAGACCTCATGACTATTCTACAACAGTTGTCCGTTTTCCCAGTGTGTCTTATGTAAAGAGATTGTATTAGTAACTCGACATCATATATACTGTTAGTACTGGGAATTTACTGAGCAGTAGAATTTCATTGAGATATAATGGAAGATATAACATCTGTATGGCAATAAAAAAGCCTTCATACTAAAAGGAAGTATTTCTAGGCTGCTTGTATTGCAGGAACAAGACTGCTTGTTTAGACTGCTTGTCACAGAAAAAGCTAAAAGCTTAGTTTTTCTAGTTTTGAAACGGCACCACAAAAGAGGCAACTTCTGTTTTTACAGTATGCACACTTTTTTATTTTTTTATTTTTGTACACTGCACTTAACTGCATTATGAATCTCTCTCTTCCACCAGAATATGCATTATGGAACATTACTAATACAAATCATTTGGAATGTCTGTTAATAATTTCAGCATTGTGGAAACTTTCCAGGGAAAAATGTAGTAATAACAGAAATCATGAACCAGAAGTATAGCAAAGACTGTTGAAATTTACACCATGGATGTGGCCACCATTTTGTTTCTATTATTATTTTATCATGTGACATATTTTGCATTATTTTATACCCCAATAAACTATCTCTCACCCACCAGTAGTTGTTGCAATATTAAAACTATGGTTCACCTTTAGCATTATTAGTAGTTGGAAGATGATGACAATGAAGTAAATTTTGTGTCTCATGTCTTCAGAGTATAAAGAACTGTAATACTGAATATAATTATCCTCATAGTCTCTTTCTTCCCACATGCACTGAATTTTAATTCTGAAACTTGCTTGTACAGATCTTAACTTTTGAAAGTAAGGGCATTTATGTTGATAATAATAATTTTTGCTGATGAGGAGGATTCTGATCATCATTGTTATTTACTGAGTGGTTTGATAAATTAAAAAATGGGTCAACTTGATTATTTTCTCTCTGGCGACTGTGGTAACTAGTGTCAAAGTGCCATCTGTAGAAGCAGTTGATGATGGCATGCTGCTATTAGAAATTAAGTAAAAACTACAGAAGCCTTAGATGGGAGCCATAAACCAAGCCATAAAATAAAGTGTTTGGGAAAATCTACAATTGTTTTATAACAGTGAGGTATGCCAGAGCTTTTGGATCAGTTAATAAATATGTGTACGTCACTTGATCTCTCATTACGTGATTAGTCAATACTTGTATGTGTCTCAGGTGTGTATGAACTGTCCATGTTAAAAATTATGTATTGATTTGTTGCCAGTGCTGGGGTTCGTATCTGTAACGGCTCTTCGTGTTCAGGTCCTTGGTTGACCCTATTACCAGCATAAGTCTGCATGTTTGAACTGGTTTTCATCATGTTCAACTGTTGGTAAAATAATATTTGGCATTGCTACTAATAATAGGTTGGATGTAATTTGAATGGCCAGTTTGCCATGCAGGAATACATCCCTTTTTCTTAGAAAAGAAAACAGAATTGAGAAATGTAGCAGACATTAACTATTGGGTGGCTTTGCTGTATAAAGTTTATTGTTGGTGAAATTGGTCTATTTTGGTGGTTACTGTTGATTTATCATGCAGGCCATACAGTTCCTTTTGTTTGATTTAATATTCACTGTTGGCCTTGGTTTGAATAATCAAGAGTTCATATTGAATGGCATACATTCCATTTCTGTTAAAGCAGCCGAATGTTGACATGTTGGGTTTTTTTTTTAGCAATGTAGGTATCTGTGGAGGAAGGGACAATTTATGTACTCTGGTCTTTGAGTCTTGAAAAATAACACTCAATTCTACTTGGCTGGATATTGGCAAGGAGAATAGAATAAAATGATCTGGTATGTGGAGGAGTAAATTCTACACTGAGAGCTTTTGAAGAGAACAGTGAAAACATGTCAGCCTATATCCAGAGTTCCTCACATTCAGTGGTATCCTAACCTGCAATAAGCATGTTAGTATAAAAAATCCTTCATAGATGTTCTTTGGGTAGAAGAGGTAGTGGTGGCAACAGAAAATGCTACTGGTACCTCTGCAAAAGGCTGAAGAAATTGTCTCATTGGGAGGGTTTGGAGACTATCAGAGAATTTGGCCAGCTAGTAGGTTCGGCTAGTTGGCACAGCTCCTGTTTTACAGCTAGAAAAAGTAATGAGAGAACCTTGAGCTACATTTGTATGGGGATATTCAGAAGGATGCAGAAAGCATTTTGGGGAGTCCATGATTGTTTTAATGGGGTTCAGAGGGCAGCATAACTCAAATCAGTGTTTACTGAATACTAAAGAATTCATATTTTATTGCTGCATGTAGTGAATGTACATGATCCTTACTAGTAGCAAGCCTTCTGCAACCTATAAGTAGGAGGAAGGAGCCTCTGGTTTTAAGTACTGTAATTCTTTGCAACATATACAGCTTTGTCAACCCTCATGCACAGTCACAAACAACTGATTTGTTGGCAAGATGTGAAGTGATCTATGCCTGTGTAATTGGAGGAGAGCTGAAGCATAGACAATCGCATAAATTTAATGTTTGTAACATTAGTTTCATTGAAACATAATATTTTTTTGGAAGATATACTTAATAGATTCATGGTGGATACAGTGTTTTAACACAGAAAACATTTCCCTTTATCCAGATGCATAGAATATACATTATATGGCTAAAATAATAGTTTACTACATGGAGAGATTAACCCATCTGTTTTTACTCAAATAGTAAACAGTCAGTGACTTAAGATAACTAGAAAAATAATTATATAGGAAGCTTTGTATTAATTTAAAATAGTGCCCGATATAAAACGCTGTAGCTAATGGATACTGGGTATTGACTCATTGGTCTTGAAGTCTAAAATCTCCAAACCACTCGCTTCATCTCATAGCACTGTGATAATTTATCGAAATACTTCACAAAGGGTTAATATTCATATAAAAATGGATTTTGAGTCTGATTTGACTGAAGACTTTGCACCATAGTACAACACACAATGTTATATATTGAGTCGAATAATCCAAGCACCAATGTTTCTTTTCTCTTTTGTATACTTGTAAATGTTGTTGTTGTTATTGAGCTTGACATGGTATTTTAGACCTACATATATACATCCCCCCCCCTCCAGGTTTTATAGCTTTGGTTATGTGCGCATGATTTTTGAGAAGTTACACTAAATTTCTCCCCAGTGGACTTATATTCAAACTGCATATACGCACAATAAATTTAATTCCATAACACACTCTGGATACAGTGTTTTTCACTAGAAATTGACTGTCCATTTTTCAGGGTAGTTTTGTACTGCTTTAAATGTTATGTCTGAAGCATTCTCTGTGAGGTAAAACATTCCAAAGAATATATTATAGTTAAACCATTTTTTATATCTAACTCATAGTTTAAAATACTCATGCTCTACCCTGGGTACAATACCGAGTACATTTACTTGGCTAAAAATTCCTGTCAGTGAGACTTGATTTTGAATGAACATAATTGATATATAAATTATCCAGGATTTGGGTTTCATAGTGGTATCTTAGAACTTGTCCTGCAAGGGTTATGTATTAACCTGGAGAATTTCCTAATTCATAAAAGAATTCTCATCGAAATTGACAAATAAGGGTAGAGAACAGGAAGAGGTTAGTTTTCTGTGCTTGCTTTATAAAAAAAAACTTGTGTTCATTTTTAAAGCGTATATTGGATCTTAGTCTAAAATGTCCCATTAAAATAAAGACAGACTTAATAGAACCTTGAGGACTAGACTGCATATTACCAATTATCTGCATAACGTTGGTATTTTGAAGCAGTGACTATAATCCTGATTTATTCCAAAGTGTCAACAACTATTTTCTTAATTCCGAACATTTGGTTAACCAGAACTCTGAATATGAACTCATTGAAAATAATACTTAATCTTTCCTCTTCTACACCTTTCCACTGTAGAACATGTGTCTGAGAATCAGCTTTTCTTAAAAAAAACAAAAAACAAATTACAATTCTTAAATTTCTACTTCAAAGACAGTCGATCCGGCTGAAATGTTGGGGATCATAGCTATAGTGCATCAAATTTGCAAAATATTCTTTTTTTCATTGGTTCATGTAAATATATACCTAATCATATCTGTTCATTCAAGCTGTTCTTCTAAATAAAATTTGAAGGCTGGAGAGTGAAGATTTTACATATATAATTACATAACATGAAGCAGTTTACATATTTTGGGTTGAGCATATTTAGACTTCCAAACACCAGGAGTGCAAATTTAATGCAAACATTGCTGCTTTGACACCGAAAATATTACGGATTTATTTAAAAAAAAACTTTAAATACTTTATCACTCAAATAAGTAGCCTAGAAAAATCCAGGCTTTTTAAACATGTTTTTTTAAAAAAATCAGTGTGTTGGATCCCTGCAATTTAAAATAAGTTTTATCTGTTTTTATTACCTGTAGATATTACACTTCACATTCTTTATAGGGTAGTTGCTGACACTTGCACTGTCCATAGCCATTAATGATGATGAAAGGTCCTTCATGGGTAGGTTCATATTCATTATATGGTCCTTGGTCTGACATGTTTGACATATGTAGCCGTGTTTGAGATCGCAGTTGCCTGTGACTTTGAATCATTGAGCACTGCCTAATTTTTCTTAATGTGGGAGGGCAGCACTTCCTGGAGATGAACACTACAAAAATGATAAAAAAGAAAGAAAATAATAAAGCCATTGTTCCTGTAATTACCTGTTGGGTGAAGATGGCATTGTTTGGCTCAGGCAACTGCTCTTCTGTGGTTGTGGGTATGTCTGTAGTAGTTGAGATTTCTTTGTCTCCCACATGGAAATTTGAGGAGCTTATTCTTTTTGTGTATTCAGTTGTTGGAGCTCTGTAAGTTGTAGCAATGGATGTAACAACAGTTGATAAATTCCAGCAAAGCTGAAAACCATAAACTGCATCTAGAATATCCTCTCCCTGGGTGTGGTTTGGGCTATGACAAAGTATGGAGTGTTCCCACCGACCTTGGAAGCCACTCAGCCATGTGGCTAATGCACATATTTTGGGGCTGCATTCCCAGGGATTGCTGGAGAGGCCCACCGTAGTTAGAGTTTTAAGTGAATATAAAACCTTGGACTCCAGAGTTGTTAGCTTGTTGTTATCCATTAGGAGTACTTTAAGATTAGGCATCGTTTCAAAAACTGTCATATCAATGGCTTTGATCTCATTTCCAGACAAATCTAGCTTTTCTAAAGTGCCCCAGGTCCATTCCATCCCGCATGTCAAGTTGCTAATTTTATTCCCCTGCAAGAAGAGCATGTGCAGATTGCTTAGCCGTAGGAAATGAGCAAAGTTAATCTTTGTCAGCTGGTTGTGCTCTAGGTGAAGCTCCCTCAGTTTGATTAATCCTGCAAATCCATTGCGTGCCAAACTCCGCAAGCGATTTGTGCTCAAATCCAAGAAATCCAAACTACGACAGTCTGAAAATAGACGGACTGGGATAGTCCTCAGGGAATTAGAACGTAAACTCAAGGTTTGCAGTTTGCGAAGGCCATAGAACAATTCAGGATGCAAAGCAGATAATTGATTGAAAGAGAGGTCCAAATGTTGCAGGTTAAGCAGTTGGCTAAAAGTTGTGTTTGGCAAATAAGAGATTTTGTTTGAACTTAAAACTAATTCCTTGAGTTTATACAGTCCTTGAAAAGCATCTTCTCTTATAGTGTCAATTTGATTATGGTCTAAATGAAGCCAAGTAAGTTGACTGTAGCTTGCAAACTGATCCCCTTCAAGTTCCATAATAAAATTGTGCCTCAATGACAAACCTAGACAGCCCTTGTCAGTGGTGTTTGGCACTGAGTGAAACCCCTGAGAGTCACAGTAAAAGAACAGCTTCTCGCAACGGCATTTTGGCGGACAAGCTGTGCCCAAGGCAGGCAGCATTTTAAAAACAATACTCATTGCATATAGTGCTGCCAGCATAGGAGCCCCTAATGGCCACTTGAAATGTAAGCCTGCAGAATATAGTTCAGGGAAACAACAAAATAGGATATTCTTATCAGATGTATGTTTACAATAAAAAGGAGAAAAATGCAGATAACAACATGCATTAAATTGTTCAGATCCTTTACATTTAAAACATATTTGGTATGAACATTTAGAACATCTATTTTAAATTTTGAAATTACCGACAGGCATTTCCAAGTTGTCTTTTTTTAAAAACAAAACAAAACTATTGTTGCTAACGTGCGTTTCTAAAGCAGTATTGACAGTTCATAGTACAATAGATTGAAATGTATAAACTTACCCATTCTTTTGAGTACGTTGGAGGTTGCATTCAGTCGTAGTTTTAGACTCAACACAGTGAGTCTGTGAAAAGCTTTAATGTTGACAGCCTTTTAATAAATACTTCTACTGTCCACGGATGTTAGAGTAAAAATGACTTCACATCCCCTTTCTCATATATTCCTTTTGAATTCATTTCCTTGATTTTCAGAAGACAGGTCTGTTAATTCCTGATCAGTGCTGGATTGAATTCCTCCGTTTTTTATTCCATACAGCTGTTTAATTGAAAGCACTTTCCACAGCTATGGCTTTTTTTTTCTTTTTCTTTTTTTGTCTTAACTTGTTGATGGCAGATGGGTGGCTTATTGCTGAGAGAAGCTTCTGTAGTCGCTTGAATGCATTTGCTGAAAGGCTTTCAGGGATACGGTACAGGAACGCATTTGATTATGTGCTGCGACCACACAACTGTATATAGGCTGACGTCACCTTGTGACGTTCCTTTTTGTTTGGGTTTTCCAGAAGCTTTGCAGTTTAAGGCACTGTGGTGCATACTGTGAATTGTGAGATTAGACTACCACTAAGAGGAAAAACCTAACTGTAAGAATTCTTCATTTGACATCCAAGGAATAGGAATGACTTTGCAGAGGTCTCTTTTGCAGGTTACATGCTTGTTAGTCCAACCTTGAGCCATATGGTAGAATTTGTGAAGTATAGTCACGGTCATGACTTCGGTTGTGCGGTGGTCCTACTGATATTCTTCCGTCTAAAAGGGCTAACAGAGATCCATCAAAGAAAGCTTAAAAAGTGATCAGCATTACTAGAAAAATAAAGAATCTAGCTAAAAAGGAGGAAGCTATTTAATGTAACTTGAGAAGGCAGGATTTTGGTAAATGTGCCTCGAAATAAATTCAACCAAATGCAAAATCTTTTAATAGAATTTTTTTACTTCAGATTTATTTTTTAAAAATGTCCATTACTAATGCTCTTGTTTATATTTCTGAATACTTCAGATAGGATGTAAGAAGAAGCAAACACACTTCGATGAAACTAGATTAATAAATATCCATGGCAGCCTTGAAATAGATTAATGAGGATGTATGCAGACTTTTTCTTCCCTGTTAGCAAGAAGTCATTTGATAGGAATAACCTGTGCTACTCAGCTTGTAGGTGAAAGGTGGTTACATCAGTCTTTTCAGTTCATTTGGCAGAGATTATAAATACAGTGGTGTCCCGCATAGTGATGTTAATCCATTCCAGGATTAACGTCGCTATCCGGATTAGTCGCTATGCAGGGGGGAACCCATGTTGGGGAAAAACTCACCGCTATGCGGGGAATCCTCCATCCGGCTGCCATTTTCGCCGCCCGGTAAGTGAGGGCAGGGCACAAAAATGCTGCGGGCGGCCATTTTGTTGACCTGGCAGCCATTTTGGAACCGACGATCAGCTGTTTGTAAAACATCGCAATGCGATGTTTTCCCTATCTAAAACATTCCAATGCGATCACATTAGCGATCGCATAAAAAGCGTCGCTATGCGGATATGTCGTTAAACGGTGCGCTCGTTAAGCGAGGCACCACTGTAGTCTATTTCTTATATAGGGTAATATGGGGCAGGTCAATAATCTGGTTAAGATTCTTGTTAGAAGTATGATACTTCCATGTTTTTTTAAAAAACTGAACAGTAAATTAGTTCTTAAAATGTATAATACTAGTTGTTGTGGGTATTTGCATCACTTTTATTTTTAGATTTTGAATTATGAATTGTTTGTTTTTTCATGGTGGTATGGATTTATAGAACTTCCTCTTTCTGTGTGGTAGAATCCCAGTTTCAAATTGTTCATTGGCACTATTTGTCATAAGGTTGGGAAGGAATATCAAATCAGAGACAGGCTATGTAATCAAATGCAACTTTTAGTTAAATTCCTAAATCCATTTGGTACTCTGAAGTAACATAGACCTGCTAAGTCAGCAGGAACTTGGTAAATCCGCACCTTTGTAAATTCTAGTTGGGACTAATAATTGGTTTTAGGCCTGAGTGGATATAACCTAATGTCTAAGAAAAATACTTTGAAGCTTGATCTGATATTAGCATTAAAAACAGTAAACATTTTTTAAACATGATAATACATATAGAATCAGTTGGCAAACAATAAATGCTCACTTACATTCCTTGTGCTGACTGTAATAATGATTAATAATTATGTGCTGTCAGATTGTTCCAATTTATAGAAACCTATCCCAAGGTTTTCTAGGTATGATTTAGCTTCAGCAGTGTCACTGTATCATTTTCCTTAGCCATGCTTGTTGTTGCTCCCAGTATGTACAACTTCCTCAGACCCAATACAGTGGTGCCTGGCACAGCGAGGTTAATCCGTTCCAGATTAACCCTCGCTGTGTGAAAGCATCGTTGAACGGGGCAAGAAAACCAATTGGAACACATTAAACAGTGTTTAATGCGTTCCAATTGGGCTGAATACTCAACGTTCAACGATGCTGGCAGCCATTTTCGCGCCCTCCCCTCGCTGAACAAGGGCGCGAAAACGCTGCGATCAGCTGTCCGGCGGGTCCAAAAGGGCCACCGGAACAGCCGAAAGGGGGGAGGCGCAGCGTTTTCGCGCCCTTGGTAAGCGAGGGGAGGGCGCGAAAACACTGCGCGCAGCCATTTCGGCTGTTCCGGCGGCCATTTTGGACCCACCTAACAGCTGATGGGCGGGTCGCAAAGCGAAGGTTGCTAAGCGAACCGCTTACCGCCCTTCGCTCTGTGATTCATGCCCTGTCTAGGTGCTGTTTTGCGATTGCAAAAACGGCACCGTTGCGCAGATTCGTCGCTCTACGGAGCGACCGTTCTGCGAGGCACCACTGTATGTTCCAGGCTCATGCTTGCTTTAATATGCCACCTCTTCCCAAGACCTGAGCCCCAAAGGTGTTTGCAGTATAGATAAAAACAACAGAAAATTTATTACAAAACAAAGTCACTACACTTCTGCCTAGTACATATGTTCTGCAATTTGAGAGGACCTGGATTCAAGCAACCTTGGCTATGTGATATTGGAAAGCCATTCTCAGTATAGTTAGAACCAGTGGTCTTTCTGAGCCCATGATAGCTTTAAAAAAATCAGTCCTCACTCCAGGATTAGAGATTCCTGTGGTTATCTGTGAAGTATTCTAGAGATCCCTGGCATTATCATTTCTCAGGGGGGCTCTGTTGGCTCTGAATCTGTCCAGTCTCTTCATGGGATTAAGTAAAGTAGATAGAATATCCACAGCAGACTATGGCATTTGCCTTTCATGGAGATTGATATGTATGTGGTTGAGATAACTTACAACTAAAGTAGGAAAGAACTATAGTCAATCTGCCTTTGCAGTATCATTCAGAGCAGCACTTTTATGCAATGGCTGTAATTGTTCTCCCTGACGATCACTGCTGTAATTGTTGCCGGTCTCCTACATGGTTCCAGACATAGGCCTTTTCTCATATCTGTAAGCAATCCTTGTAAAGTGCTGGTTTGATACACAGAAACAATAAAGAATGCCTGTAGAACAAATAGTTAGGCTGGTGAAAGAGTAAAATACTCTGTTCCTCTTTGGCACCTGGAACAAAACTAAGCAGATCCTGCTCTTTGTAGAACAACAGTGGGTTGCTGTAGGAGCTATTCATCCTCTGGTAGACCCAGGATAAAAAAAAGTTGTCTTATTTACAGGACTGGAGTAAACATAGGGAAGAAAGAAGGGACATTTCAAAAATAGTATCAATTATTTGCAGTAAGAGTGGACATCTTAGGTAATTTTGAAATATCTTTGTACAGTTGCCCTACTTCCCTTTCTGCATGGTCTGTCTGCCACTAACCACTTCTTTTAATTGGGTTTTCATTTTGTATGCTACATGATTACTTACGTGAATGGGGACTCTCATTTAAGGATAGGTAACATGATTTCAGTGGATCTTTGCTTTTAATGCCACTTATAGTTGACTAAATGAATGTAAGGGTAGCAATGATGGTCAGTGCTGTGGGCTTTTAACAGGAGAGTCATTGAGTACCTCCTCCCTCAGTATCCTTATCTTGCCAAATTCATTATTTGTTTACCTTTGTGGAGAGGCACCATCTTCCCAATTTTAATGTAGCTAAATTTTGTTTTCTGGTACGTGTTACTATCCAGAGTCTTGAGGCAGACAATCAGGGAGACAAATATTTGTTCTGTAGTTTTGGGAGAGCTAGCCGGATAGCTCAATGAGTTAGGTATCTGGGTGGGGAGCCAAAGGTTGGGAATTCAATCCCCCACTGTACATCTCAGGATAGCCAACCTGTGTGATATTGGGGAAGCTGCACAGTCTCAGGATGCTACCAAGAAGAAGAGAATGTGAAACCACTTCTGAGTATTCTCTACCTAGCAGAGGCTCACCATAAATCAGAATTGACTTGACAGCACGATTATTATTAGTCTTGGGAGATGTCTGATCTTTGAAAGGGGATGTATAAATAATTTCTCATACTTTACACAAATCATGCACCATATGTTGCACACAGAAATTGATTCATAGTGTCCATAATCCTACTGCAGCATCTTCAGATTATCAACAGTACTGTAAACTTTAAAATCACTTCAAAGTAGGTGAGGCTGAGGTGTTAAAAATAAGACATAGGTAAAGATCTTCTGGAAGCCCAAATGCACACTTCGTGTTCCAGCATGTGAGCAGAACCTCAGAGCTCTTCTCCAGTTCCCTCTCTCCCCACTGTGGAGTATAGCAAAGAGTGGTGAAGTGTGCAGTAAGACAGTGCTTCTAGACAAGGGCAGAATGTTCAGATTCCCAAAGGAACACAAGTTTAATGAGATTATATATTTGACAGATAGGTGCTACCTGTCTATACTATAATTTGAGACTATAAACAAAGTAAATATATTTACTCCTAAAACTCCCTTACTGTATTTCTGAATATAGAGATGTTCCACTTGTTCTGTCCCTTAAATTCAACAGATGTTTTTGCAGTGCAACACTGCCACCTGTGCAAAAGGTGACTTGGCTTTCTACTATTCTGGGATCCTGCCTGAGCAATGCCATTCTTTCCACTCTGTATCCCCCTAACACCCTCATATGCCTGGCATGGGGTTTTATGATCTGACACTGTATTAGCATCTGTCATGCTGAGATAACAGTATAACCTGGCTTGTTGTTCTGTTGCTGTGCAGACTCCAGATTCACTGGTCAGAAACAAGAGCCCTTAGTGCAATCTTTTTTCCTTGACAGTTCCTTTTGCTGTTGATAGCATCCTGCTGTCATTGGAGACTGTAAATATTGTGACATAAAAGGCCTGGCTGAGAGTCCTTGCCACTTTTCTGCTTTTTGTATGTACCTTAATTACCACAGTCGTACCTTGTTTCTCAGTCCTTATTTGTTTCTAAAGTGTATTGCAGTTGAAAAGCATATAATGGTATTCTTAGGAATATGTGCAGGAAGGTAGTGACAAAATAACAGAAGTAGATTTTGTCCAGGGACCTCCCAACCCTGAATGTAGGTAGTCTTGCTATTTTTCTACTTATAAAATTGTAGGAATCAGCAGGTTTTGAAACTGCTGGAGCCCACTTCAGTTTGCTCATTATGGAAGCAAAATATCTAGGTTGATGTCGGTTATAGCATTTTTATGTATGTGGCAGATGTCTGGAACTAATATCTATATTAGTGAGTTCGTATATTCAGACCCCAGCAGGGCTCCTGAGTTGTGCGTGGAAGCTGAGTTTTAAACACATTCTCTACTGACTGTTTGCCCTTGAGACTGAAATGAATGAAAAAGTCCAAGTGTGTGTAAGCTTTGAATTGCAGCCATTTTAGCGGGGACAACGCATTAATCTAACTTAGTTTTATCTGTTTTTCTAGGCTGGACGCAGAGAAAGAAGTGATGCTCTAAACTTGGCAATAGATAAAATGACAAAAAAGACAAGGGATTTGCGTAGACAGGTAGAGTATACATGTGGATGAAATTCTTATTCAGAAAGTTTTGCAAAATAACATTCCATTTTTCATGTCAACTTGATTCTAGAAGTCTTTAGATCTGTCCATTGTAGCTGAAATCTAAGCATTTGGGTTCATTTGGAACTTTAGCAAGCAGATGTTGAGAATAGGGATTCCTATTGTTTTCACAGAAAATTCTGAAGTATTGTTTTAAACAAACTGAACTGAAGGTATGAGAAACCCATATTCCTCTCTCTCTCCTCTCAACAGCACGGGTCTGTTGTGACCACACAACTTCTTGTAGGAATTAACTCCCTAGGATGAACTCTTTTTTGGTAGAGAGCACGTCAGAGAGGCATTAGTGAAAATAACCATGTTAGTTCTGTGGCTTACATATTTATTTTATTTATTATTTATTTATTTTATTTATATCCCGCCTATCTAGTCGGTTAAGAGCACTCTAGGCGGCTAGGTTGAACATGCCAAAGAGGAAGAAGCTGAAATCCAGATGAACACTGAGATGTTTGGAGCATTGTAGTCATACTTCACAAATGAAATGTACCTCACAGCTTTTAAAAATTAATTTGCTTTTCAGCAACCAAAATTTGATGGATCTTCTACACTTTCATTTGTAACAGGAATAGAACTTCCAGGTATCTAGGAGCCGCACATGCCTTCCAAAACCTTGGAAGACCACACCTACTCCCAAACACCCCCTGTCAAAAATGTTTTTCTTAATTTTTTTAAATTGAAAAAGCCCCTTTGCACCCTCTAGTGGCTTCACACAGCAATTGGGCTGCTTTTTCTGCTGCTCCCAAGTTGTTTTGATTGGCTTTGACTTTGGAAAAAAAATCAGAATCCTCAGTCTGAAATAGATGCAGAAGGGGACATTCTGAGCTAAATATTTTTAAAAGATAGCAGAAAATGGGTGCGAGAAGACTGGGGCTGTGTTTTGCACCCCTGAAGGATGCACTTCACCCATATATAATTTTGAATTTGTTTATGCTGCAGAGAGATAGCAAGATAGCTTTGTAGGTCAGATCCAGACTTTTTGAAAGCTCTTGTTAATTAAGTGGTGAATTATAGATATTGGAAAACTTGAGCTGTTTCAAAATCTGTGATTATTGGGGACTTATAATTCAAAAGTTAAGTACTGACCAGGTTGTGTAGCTATAGCATCAAAACCTATAGAATTTACTTGTGAATGGAAATTTTTCTGAGAATAGTATTGGCATAAAAAGCATTTAGAGATGACCATGAATCACCGATTCAGTGGTTCATACTTTTTCATCTATTGATCCAACAGGTGTTCCACAATCCTGAGCCCCACTCCCTCCGGTGGGCACCCACTCAGGCAGCACTCGGGTTTCCCTGCCCTGCCTCCTCTGGCCGCTGCCTCTGAGTGGGGACCTGCCAGAGGAGGCAGGGCTGAGAACAATGGAACACCTGATGGACCAACAGATGAACTGACCCAGACTGGCAGTTTGTGCCCATCTGTATAATATTAAATATTGATAGCTAACCAGAGACATTTACTGTTGGATGTAGTTCTGTTTTAAATCTAAAATAGTACTTTTAAACAAGTTCTGTTCCCTAATTCCAGGCAAATATCTCCCAATTATTTTGGAATACTCTTTCCTTTTAAAACTGTTTTAAAGTGGAGATGTTTGCAAGACATGTTTATAGATTATGTCCATTGGAAGGAGATTGCTTCAGAATAGGCTTCATTCGGTTGTGTCAATTTATACTGAAGTGAATTGTCCTGTATTTAGTAGAAGGACAATGGACAAACTAAGATGTTTTGACTTGTATTAATATAAGAGTTTGGCATGACAGTTATTTTGGTGAGAGATTAATATTGTTTTTATATTTGTTCATAGCTTCGCAAAGCTGTTATGGACCATGTTTCAGATTCCTTTTTGGAAACAAATGTACCACTTCTAGTTCTTATTGAAGCTGCCAAGAATGGCAATGAAAAAGAAGTTAAGGAATATGCCCAGGTTTTCCGTGAACATGCCAACAAGCTGATTGAGGTAATATGATTAAATATGGATGCTGTTTTGCTTTGTGTTAAGACACTTACATATTGTTACTCCTGAAGCCACTGCTGATAAGTTTTACTGAATGACCTTGGGCTCTGGTATGGTGAAATAAAATCTCTTCGTCATGATTTGATATTTCTGTTTAGAACAGATACATGAATTAGATGTGTCTTTGGGCAAGCAGGGGAGCACAAACTAATCTCTTAATTTTATAGATCTATAAAGATAAGTAGAACTTGAAGAAATCATCTCAATTGTCTACTGTTAGTTTCTGGCATGCATGCTGTTAAAATAGTTTTATGACGAAGAAGTAGTACTTGCTAGAAGAGAGAGCGGCCAAGGTCCTGTTTTTAATGGTGGATCATAACTGCTCCATAAGGCAGCATGCTGAGCCATTCTCAAGGGATCTCTATGTTGTGTTCATAGAGGCCAAACTTGCCCAGCTGGGGCTTATGCTTTCACAAGAGGGTAGCAAATACCCTGTTGCACAGCTGGTATATTTCAGCAGCTATGTTTTATATAATGTACAGTGCTGCCTCGCAAGACGATTGCCTTGCAAAATGATGAATTCGCTAGACGGTGGCTTTTTTTGAGCAATGTTATGCTTCCCAAAGCGATTATTCCTATGGGCAATTTTCGCTGGAGGATGTTTAGGTCCTTGCCTCACAAGGCAGGGCACCCCAAAACACGGAGGAGCTCTCTTGGCCTCTGGCAGTACTGGGGCTGTGCAGCCCTGTACTGAGTGGGAGGTGCAGCCAGGGGGTCACCATGACTTGGGGGGTCAGGGGCAAAAGGGGGTTTGACTCCTTTTACCCCCTTTTTCTCTCCATCAACAAAGAAACTCTTTCTTTGTTGCTGGAGAGAGAAAGAGGGAGAAGGCTATCTGAGACCCATTGAATTTCCAAAGGCAGTGCAGGAGGTGAGGGGATTGCTTTTCCCCAAGACGGTATGGGGAACTGTGTTTTGCAAGACGATGTCTTTCTTCTATGGATAATTTTTGCAAGACAGTGATTTTTTCCCCAATTGGAACGCATTAAATAGATTTCAGTGCATTCCAGTGGGGAACTGGGTTTCACAAGACGATGTTTTCGCAAGACAGCAATTTCCATGGAACGAATTGAAATCATCTTGCAAGGCACCACTGTATTATGTATTTTTGCTGCAGCATAACTTTGCCAAACGAAAGTACATTTTCAAGCAACTCTGATACTGCTTTTGTCATCTGGAAGTATATGAAACTTAGGTAGTGTGTTCCCTTGCTATACAAAAACCATTCTTGCCTACCACATGTACACAAACTTAAACAAAATTTAGTTTCCCCGGTGTTCAAACTTTTTACATATTATACATATTAGTTTTTCTAAACTTTTCTGATTTTTAAAAACCATGTCAAAGTAAGTGATGTTACATTTACCTTTTGTACATCTGGAAGCTTGTCTAGGGTTACCCATGCAATTTGTTGTTGCTGTATGCTAAGTTACTTCTGACTTATCATGACTATGATGGGGTTTGGAAGATATGTGAGATGGTCATGGAGTGCTTCACTATTGCCACCCCCAGGGAATTACCCAGCTTTCCTTAATCCTGATCCCACACTGGTTTTCAGTACAAATTACGTTTTATAAAATCCTTATTAACAAGTTACAGAAGAAAGTTTAGAAATATGACTGCATAAATACTGAAGATAAAAGCCTCCATTTGGTTAGTGCCAAATAATTGAACTTTCCAAGTATTGGTGCTTATGGACTTGAATGATTACATTAGAAACAGCTGTGCAGTTTTATATGTTTCATTGCTGTGGGAAATGATGTGGTTATTATGAAAGATTGAAGTAAAGAAGGTAACTTCACTTCTGCATTTTATTCACACTGACGTGTTGTTTCTGTTTATTTTACCAGTACAACATACTGCTTTTAAAAGGAGCATAGAAACGGTTTATATTGATGTGAAGTCCTTTGCAGAGAAGAGCTGTAATTTTTAAGTTAAAAATTCCTCACACTCTATAATGATTGGTTAACACATACAGTGGTGCCTCGCTAGACGATGATAATCCGTTCCACTGAAATTGCTGTTTAGTGAAATCATTGTCTAGCGAAAAGCATTTCCCCATTGGAATGCATTGAAGCCTGTTTAATGCGTTCCAATGGGGAAGAATCGTCGTTGTCTAGCGAAGATCGGCCATAGGAAAGCTGCTTTGCAAACCGCCGATCAGCTGTTTAAATCGCTGTCTTGCGAAGCTTAGGTCCCGAAAACACCTGTTTTGCGAGCACGGAGGATGCTGTCAAAATCGTTGTCTAGCGAAAAATGGTTTGCAAAGCAGGGACCAAGCATTGTCCAGCAAAATTCCTCCATATGAATCACTGTTTTGCGAATCGCTATAGCGATCACAAAAAGGCAATGTCTAGCGAAAAAACTGTCATGCGGGTAACTGTCTAGCGGGGCACCACTGTCCATAAATCTCACTTATTTCATCAAGTGATGACTTGGATTTATAAATGAACCATCACCAGTCAGTCACGACAGAAAAAACTGTATTATCTACCATATTTTTCCATTTATAAGACAACCCAATGTATAAGAACCCCCTTTCTAACCCCAAATTAGAAAATTTGATCCCTGCTTTCCCCTTTATTTTGCTAAGCCATGGAGCTTAGCAAAAGGAAGGAAAAAGCAGGGATCAAAGGGCTCCCTTTGACCACTGCTTTTCCTTGGCTTTTGCGAAGCCTCAGGGCTTAGCAAAAAGGAAGGGAGCCGCTGCTTTACCCAAAGGGAGCCTTCCCTTCCTTTTTGCTAATCCCCATGGCTTCTCAAAAGGAAAAGTGGTGGTCACTTTGACAACCACTTTTCCTTGCCTTTTGCGAAGCCATGGGGCTTCAAAGTGGCTTGTCAATTTGACCGCCTTTTTTCCTTGCCTTTTGCGAAGCCATGGGGCTTGGCAAAAAGAAAGGGAAGACTCCCTTTGGTCGGCAGTTCGCAGCCCTTTGATCCTGAATTCATGGTTGCTTTCCTAAGCCCTGTGGGGCTTAGGAAGTGGTTAAAGCAGCCGTGAACGAGCTTCAGGATCAAAGGGCTGCGACTGTGCAGCCCTTCCATCGCTGCTTTGCCTGAAGGGAGCCTTCCTTTCTGCTAAGCCCTGTGGCTTCACAAAAGGCAGGGAAACTGGCTGCCTTCCGTGTATAAAACGACCCTCAATTTTTTGTCTAATTATTTAAGGAAAAAGTGTCATTTTATACACGGAAAAATGTGGTAATTCAAATCTCACAGTATTTTTTAGTGAAGATTATTAATATATGGGACTGAGATGTCAAGGGGCTGGATAAATAACAGAACAATCATATATAAAGCCAGCACAGATTAGCACACAGGTTAAAGGCTCATTTAATTGCTGAGCAAAAATTTGAGGGAGCTACAGAATTAACTGATATTCATACAGTTGATTTCTGATTGACATCAAATGGAAGTGCCCCTAAATAAGATTAGAACAACTAAAATTTGCAGTTACCGTATTTGCCGGCGCACAAGGCGACCAGCCATATAAGACAACCCCCCCAACAGGAGGAGGAGGAAGAGGGGAAACGGGCAGGGGCGGGCGGGCAAGTGAGCACGCGGCTGGCTCAGCGGCGCAGGGCAGCGGGCAGCCCGGTGGCGGCTCAGGCATGGCAGCGAGAGGGCGAGGAAGAGCAAGAGGAGGAGGAGGAAAAGGGAAACAGGCGGGTGGTGGGCGAGCGAGCGTGCTGGTTCAGCAGCGAGAGGGAGAGGAAGAAGGCAAGAGGCTGAGGAGAAGGAGGAAAAGGAAACGGGCGGGGGCGGGCGAGCGAGCATGTAGCTGGCTCAACAGCGAGAGGGCGAGGAAGAGGGCAAGAGGCTGAGCGGGCTCTGGCCGCTCAGGCATGGCAGGCTGTGCTTCCCTCCATCCATCCAGACCGCCTGCCTGCCTGCCCGCCTGCCTTCCTCCCCCGCCAGCGTGGCCCCGCGTCATTCAGTGCACCCGGCGTACAAGACGACCCCCCCACTTGGAGGCATGTTTTTTGGGCCCAAAGAGTCGTCTTGTGCGCCGGCAAATACGGTAGTTTTTTTTTTAAAGCTAGCACAGCATCCTGTGTGAGTATGCATGTTTGTATTATCTCGTTTATCTACCTTGGCTGAAATGTGTAGGGCTTTTAAAGAAAATAGATGCCCAGTCCTTGAAATGCAATTCAGTATCTAATTTACAACTTCTAAAATAACCTGTCCTTTCCCACAGAATTAATCCAGTAGGTAATACTTTGTAGACTTAACAAAGTAGATTGAATTTCATTGGTTGACTAGTTTGACTTCTAAACCATTTTAATGAGCCCCAAAGTGTGGCAACATAGCCATTGTTGGTTAGGATTAATGATAAGCTCTTGCAGTACTTTTGAGTAGTGACTTTTCATGATCCATTGTGAGAAAGACATCTTAAGCAGCAGTCAGGAAATTCTGAAGACTGGAAGTTTGATCCATAGAGGCAATGATCATTATTTGCTTGGTCAAATAATGGAGCTGTATGCTTAACTTTCACCAAGTAAACTCGTCATAGAACCAATAATGCCTCACTTGAGACATCAACCTAATTTCTTATTCTAGTGTCATTCTTAATTAACTTCAAAGCAAAATTTAAAGACTTGATCTACATTTAGAATGGACAGCCTTCTAGAAGACTACCCAGCCCTCACATTTCTGTCTCTAGCACATTAGCTCAAATTGTGGCAAAGTGTTACAGGAAAGTATTGTGTGCATGCATTTGTTACTATTATATCTGGCAGGATTGTCACTTGAGGGTAAATAGTAACTTGTTCATTGAAATGCTGGCAGTAGCACTAGGCAGCCTCAGGTCATCCATGCCTCATAAGATGTAAGGGGCAGGTTCTCATAGATAGGTTACAAACTTGGCAAAAAGTACATTCTTTGCTAACCACATTAAACATTTATTTGTTCTACCTGTACTACAAGAAGCATTTTCAAACTGTAAGCTACTTGTTCCTTTTCATTTGGTCAAATTGTTATGTATCTACATAGAACGACTTTTAACTGCATTAGAATAGACATCTCAGTTAATCAGACTAAATATGTTTGGCAGAACTACAAAGTTACTCTATTGAAGGAAGAAGACCTATATTTGTTTTGTGGTTTTTACTATTTTACAGTCCTTTTTAAATCTCCACTTAACATGGAGACAATAGCACTTTAAACTGTTTGCATGTGTGGGTGCCAGATTTAGCCTAAATTTGCTCTTAAGTTTTCAGATTGTCAATACATTTTCTGGTTTTGGCTTAATAAAAATATGATTTTTAATTCTAAAGATTGCAGTTAATATACCGTAAGTCTTTGTATTAAGTTTATTTGCTATATAGGATGCTTTCTTTTCATAAGTTTAAAACAAACATGACACACACCTCATGATGTTTTATAAATTTAATTCTCACCAGTGTAGCTACCCGAGTCTGTTACCTGGTACTGTCATTGAAGAAAATCTCAAACCTATACCTAGAAAAAGGTGCATATGTGCATGGGAGCATGTGAAAAGAGATGTCAGAATAGCTAGATGTACTTGTAGTTGCAGCCCGGAGTAACCGTAGCCATAAGACTTCGAACATCCAATGCAAAATGCAAGCCCCTCCTTGCTTTATTTTATAACATTGAAGTTGTCTGTGTTATTTGAAAGAAATACATTAACATGCTTTTAATGTTCTGTTCCTCTGTTCATGCAGGAGTCTTTATAGACACAATTAACTTGTTAGCAGAAACTGGTTTACTGACCAGTTTTGATTTCCCTTGGGAGGCTGCTGCTAAAAGGAGGCAAATTTTTAGCCAATTCAGTGGGAAGGAACACAGTGTTCTTGTCTTTTTATGCTAGTTTTACATATTTCTGTGTGCAAAATGTACGCTTTAAATAACAAGCTGTCATTCACCTGTCAGCTAATAACTATAAACCATTTTAGAATCCCTCCTCTGAGAAAAAGTTCCAAAATATAGAATGTTTTCACTTAAAAATAACATAACTTTCTGTGACTTTCATTACCCTTCCAGAAAATAATGGAAGGTCTTTGTCTCTATATAGCAAAGCAAGCCTCCAAGCAGATCTCTAGAAACAACTAGTTTTTGTCATCTTCTGCACCAGTTAGTAGCAATAATTATGGTATTGAATGTTGAATATGAACTTCTTGCACATAAGTGATCTTGCTACACCAAATCACATTTTTGAGAAGCCTACATAGTTAATTCAAATTATAGGCTGTAAAACTGAGTTCACTTTTAGCTAATATGTATGTTCTCCTTCCAGTGGTTAGTTAAACTGACTCATATACAGCTGACACTGTGTTGCTATTGCATAAAGGAATGGCATTGTATTACCAAATAATGAAAATTGTTCATAATATGTGCAGTAGTCTACAGTTATTTGTACATAAGAGCCTCTGACTGTTCCTAGATGTTAGCTTTGGCTAGCAACAGATGTCAGCTTTAAACGTGTTTGTGCTTCCTTCTTTTATTATTGATTGCATTGGTGGTGGTGATTATAACTGTAAAAGGTATCTGAACTAAAATTGTTTCCTTGAGACCAGCCACTGGACATAACAGATTGAATAAGGCTATATTTGATATCAGAAGCAAGATCTTGCTAAATGCCTTTGCTTCCCATACACAGGTTGCCAACTTGGCCTGTTCTATCTCAAATAATGAAGAGGGTGTGAAATTAGTTCACATGTCAGCAAGCCAGCTTGAAGCACTCTGCCCTCAGGTAAATTATATTCTGAATTCCACTTTCACATGAAATGTAGGGATATAAAATAGCTCTTTAAAATATATATGATAATTTTTGTCAAGGAAGAACAATTATATGGATTAGTTTATTTTTCAGATGAGTGTATAAAATCGTCTTGATGCAGCACAAACTTGAGGAACACTTGCTATTGGTTGATTAAGGCGAGGAGAGTTACATTTGCCAGGCATTGCAGCTCTCAGTCATGTTTTTAATGAGAAGGTCTAAAAGATGGCCACATTTTAAGTAAAAATCACATATAAATGCTGGACTTTTGCCTAGCTTGTAAAAGCCTGTAACAAGTTTAGCACTGCTCATATGTTTTCACTAATTCTATTGAGTTTTAACAGTGATAAATGACTGATAAAACTCACTAGTTCATCTTTGTGTCTGATAATAAAATTTTATTATTCCCTCGGCCATAATTATCTGAAAGCAGTATTCTCCTTTGTGTTCCATCTCAGTTGTTAGTGGCTCATGTAAGGTCTGTTTGTCCTGATAGCATCCGCAGCATTTGACTGGAATTCAACAAAAGATATTCTCTGTGGGTGTTCTCAGGCTTTGCAATATCCTACTAAGGAAGACCTGGGTGGTTTTTGGCCCTTTCTTTATCTGATTTTAATCATTTTGCAATTGATTTTAACTGGTACTTCTTACACATTGTATTTTGCCTTTTTCTCCTTTTGATCTGTTTTGCTTTTCTTTATTTTATTGTTCAAGCACCAGTTACTGAAAGCTAGGATATAAATTTAAGAAAAGTCAGAAAGTCCCTCACTCACTGAAATTTGCATCTTGTCTTGAAGTAACTCTGGGGAGCCTTACCCAAGATACTCTTGACCTAAGACCTTTCCTTACACCATCATTGAAAGGCAGGACTGATAAAGTGGCCTGCTGGTTTCAGAGTGTGTAGTTTATTTCAGGTACATAACATCTGCAAATTGTTGAATGGGATGTGAATTTTACTTTATGTTGCAGGTAATCAATGCAGCATTAGCTTTGGCTGCCAAGCCACAAAGCAAGCTAGCTCAAGAAAACATGGACATGTTTAAAGAACAGTGGGAAAAACAAGTACGTGTGCTGACAGATGCTGTGGATGACATTACTTCCATTGATGACTTCCTAGCAGTATCAGGTAATGAGCGGCAGCTTACTAAGACTACTTCTGTATTTATCATTTGTTACGTTTGAGTAGTATCTTTTGGAATAGCTGTGTTAATTTTAGCTACTACCTTTCAGTTGTCTAAGGTAGACTTGCACAGCTGTTAGGATGGCTTCTTACCTTCATTTTAGTTTACTATTTTGCCTGTTGAACTCTGTACCTTCAGGACTGTGACAGGTTTCCCCAAAGTAGCTTGATCCATGCCATGTGGTGATATATTCAAGGATATTTCTGAAGGTGATTCTCATCTGCATCATCTTTGTCATTCTATGTATAATTCTTCTGGTATAAAGTGTTACTGTTTACATGCTAACATTATACTAAAAACCTTCTGCCAAAAAAGTGTTCATGATGATAAACAATAGCAAAAGATAGATTAAAAACAAAATCTCAGATAAAACAACACAATGGAAATAAGTAAGATTTTTTTTTAAAGATACAGTAATAAAGTACATAGCCAGCATTCCAAAATCTCATTATGTTTGGCCTACTGCTATGTAGAAAGAATACAGTAAAGTGAGAATCATAGTGATTGTTTGCTGTTGAAGTTACCATTTATATAAAGAAAAGCTTGCTGGAATCCTATTAATGTTCATATCAGATTTGCATAATTTGCTGTGACTAATTCGCATTCATAGCTGTGCTATGGTATATCTTGGTTGTAAAGTGAGAGACATGACCAAGATACATCCCAGTACTGTATCATTCAGAACTGCTGTATGGGTCAGTAATACAGCTATCTGTGTTGCCAATGGTTAGATACCCCACTGTTCCTCCTTGATATAGGGGCTGAACTCCCATCATCCATCAGGTCCCTTCCAGCTCTGCAGTTGTAAGATAATATATTGGCCACTTAACATAAACTGCACAAACTCCAGTAGAATTCTGGGTGTGATTGGGCTCTTCTAAATTTGGTGACGGTTCCTTCATTTTGGCGGGAATGAGAGACGGAGACGATTTGAAATGTCCAACTGCTTCAACTTTATTTTCATCAACTTCTGGATTAACAAGGTTAAATGGATCAAAACAGCTTAACTCTGGAATTATTCGATAACTCAAGATCTTCACTTCTGGTGTGAATATTTCACTCCTCACATTGGGGCTGGTCCAAAGCTCTTGCGGTCGGTCATCAGTCTCATGGGGGTACTCCTCACTGCGCACATCGTCCCACACCAGGGGTGTCTTGCCCAATTCCCCTCTGGGGGTGGGTTGTTGTAGGCGGGACTGGGACAGATCACTTTCCTCCCTCCACCTTGATTGCGGAGCTAAGCCACGACTGTCCATTCTAAAGGTTTCACCACCTTCCCCTCACTGCTAGGCATTGGGGTCTGGGAGCAATCCCCCTCCTGTCTTGAGATTTGGGGATTCTCTTAACAAATCTCAGACCTTGCTAGCTGCTTCACCACTCGCATCTGTCCACACCACACTGTCTCTCATGTCTTTTCCTTTCTTGTCAGTTTCCACCCTCCATTCCTGCGCTTCGCTCCACCCTTTTACAGCCTCCTCCCATACTATCAGATCTTGCTCCTCCCCTTTGTTTCCTTCCTCATCTTCCGCTAAGCACACCTCTATCGCCTTTCCATCCTTCACCTCCTCCTCCTCTATTTTTATCGCCTCTACACATCCAAACGTCTCTTATCAATCCTTTGTTGAGGACGGCACACTAGCCTCCTGTCCTTCCACTGGGATCTTTGTGCAACTGCTTTTCCTGTATTTTGCTAGAATAAGAAAAAAAATCTATACTATTTATTTGCTAACCATTGTTTTGGATAAATGAATAGATGATATAGCTGGTGCTATAGTTTAATCTCTTCAGAAGCTGTTTTGAATAATGTATTTTATTTGTGACATAGCCTAAAGCCAGGGTTATGTGTTCTCTTTCTGTTAGAAGCCTTAATGCTTCAGGCATGTTAAAGGCAGTAAAGCATATGATGGACTTTATCCAATGACCAAGCACCATTGGTCACTGATGTCTGACACTTCTAATAGCATGCAGAACCAAAAGTTATGGCTTCCTCCATTTCTCAGTTGCCCCAAAAGAAAGATGTCTTGGTGGACTATAAATCACTTGGGAAAAGTAATTCACTTACCCTTTTCTGCCCAAGCCTTGCTGTAGAAAAGTCCACCATGAGCCAGCAAATTCTAGGGCTGCTCTTCCCAGGCTGGCCATTACCCGCCCATTTCTGCCATGCTCTACCAGTATAACCACCCTGCTCTGCCTGGCATTGAAAATTGCTGTGCTGCCTCTGCTCTGTTTACTTCCCCCCTCCTTTCCTATTGTTTGCCCATTTTCACATTCAGGCTTCCTCATCTTGTTTCCCTCCAAAAGGGAGGAATCTCTCAGAAAGCAAATTTTGTAAAGTTCCTATTTCACCAGAGTGGAGTTCTTCTTCGTGGTCTCTGTAAAATCATGCTATAGAATTTAATCTGCGCTTGCGCAGAAGTTTCCGGAATATTCTGGAGCTTTATCGCGCATTCACCAGGACCGCCTCTCTCCTAGTAAATGTGTTTCACCCATCCTGGTGACCGCCTCAGTTCCTCTTTGCCTCCACTTTATACAACTCATCTCTCATTGAGCTCTCCGTTTGCCACTGCTTTTGATTTCTTCTTAAAATAAAAATAAATAGGGAAAATTGTAAGAGACTTTTCAAGCTATTTCTCCCTCTTTTGATCGCCCTCCCTTTCTCCTTCCTTCCCCCCATTTATGGTCCCTGTAGCAGCTCCACCAATATCCCCCTCTCAGACGGACATAATCTTTGTCTCTTCTTCCTCGGGGAATCTCACCAGCCATCTTTGTGCCAGTTTTGCAAAAACTTAACTGAACAGGCTCTCAAGTTCTGACAACAATGTATCAAATCCTTTCTCTGGGAAAGTTCTCTATGCCCAGCACAAACAACTATGGAGGCTTCCCAAACTTCTCAGCCCCATAAAGGATCCCCAGATGTGCCCACCGCTTCTCCGACTTCAAAGCTACTGACTTCCAAATCCAAATCTAAATCCACTTCTAAATCTAAGTCTTCGGCATCAACGACTAAGTCGATACCAACATCAAACCTTCCTTCGGTACCGGAGCACTCCAAACCTAAAAAGTCCAAGAAATTCTCTTTGGATTCGCAATCCACTAAAAGGTCTATTCAGTTGACAACCGATAAAACTCTACGGGATCAACCAACTATTTTCCTTGACTCTCCAGATGATGATTTCATGCCACCGCCATCCGGTCAACCACCATCTCCACTCCTTGCCCAATCTCCATCCTGGGCCAACTCCTCAGCTGAAGTGACAGTTGTTTTGCACTCAGTACATTCAAGCCCTAGATCCATGGGTTGCTCAGTGTGTGATTGAGTCAACATCTGGTTTAGCTGACCCATCATCTCTGCATTAGCCGTAAGCAATCCAAGAAGACACCAGAGACAACCTCTGACTTCTACGGGGCTGTTGGTATTGCATGATTCTTTGACTCGATATCAACACCCAAACCGAGTCACGCTGTATGAACCTCCGCCGAAACGCTATCGACATTGAGTGTATCGATATTGGCAACCTGATACCGAACTAAACATTGAGCCTAAATGCTCATGGTATGGATATTACTATCTATCTGATGTATAGGATTCATCATCTCCTCTTTGGTACTGTTCGCAGTCCCATGAATATGACCAAACCTCATCCGAGGATGACATCACACCTCTACCTATAGTACCATAGCCGCATAAGTCCTCTTGCAAGAGGAGTAATTTTCCTGAACCTTTCATAGGTCAACCACATTGCAACAGCATACACATTCACGCTACCTGGTCTCAAACCGAACATTCACCAATCTTGAACTGCTAACCATTTTCAAAGCTGTCCGCGCCTTTGAACCTATCATCACTGGCACAGATGTGTAAGTAACCACAGACAATACTAAGCGCTTTTTAACATAAACAAGCAGAGAGGCACTTGCTCTCTACCGTTGCTGTACCCTGCCGTTCAACTATGAGAGTGGTGTCTCAAATGTCACATTTTTCCTATAGCAGTTCACATCACCACTCACGACAATCATATACAGTGGTGCCTAGCTTTACGATTGCCCAGTTTAACGAAGAAACCACATTACGATGAACTTTTTGCGATTGCAAAACGATGTTTCCTATGGGGGAATTTCGCTTTGCGATGATCGGTTCCCTGCTTTGGGAACCGATTCTTCGCAAAACGACGATTTTCCAACAGCTGATCGGCAGTTTCAAAATGGCCACCGGGTAAACAAAATGGCTCCCCGCTGTTTTCTGGGACGGATTCCTCACTGCACAGGCAGCGTAAATGGCCGCCATATGGAGGACTGTGAGTTTACAGCCCTTTGGAACGCATTAAATGGTTTTAATGTGTTTCAGTGGTTTTTTTCTTTTCGCATTACGTTTTCGTTCTACAGAGATTTTGCTGGAACGAATTAACGTCGTAATGCGAGGCACCACTGTAGCAGATTCTCTTAGCAGGAGTCGGACTCAAATGCACAAGTGGACTCTTGACCAGGACTTTGCAAACTGTGGGGACGGCCTCACATAGACATCTTTGCCACATTCCAAAGCTCCAGAGCAGGCATAGTCCCAGGCTCCCTCTGGGATGTGCTCATGATCAGTTGGACCACACATCAAATTTACCTCTTCCCGCCTATACCTCTCCTCAGGATGATAATCAAACTCCGTCAAAACCACTCAAACACAATTCTCATCGCTCCGTGGTGACCCAGGCAGCCGTGGTTCACATGCTCCGATCCATCTCCACATATTTCATCCGCCTGCCCCCCATCCCTCACCTCCTCACTCAACATTGAGGCAAAACTTACCATCCCAACCTTCATGCTCTCCACCTAACAGCGTGGAGGATTCACTCTCAGTAACTACCATTTTAGCCAACGCCTTCTACAACAATTTATTCTTATAAATAGGCTGCCTTCCAGAAATTTGCAACTCAACGCGGCCTTCCAACCAGTCCAACAACTCTTCATGCAGTCCTTACATTCCTTTCTTATCTTTTTAGTCAACAGCTTTTCCTGTCAACCCTCAAGGTTTACATTTCCACCATAGTCACACATCAACCAAAAGACTCAGATGCGGCCCTACTTTTCCGTCACCCTACTTTGAAACAATTCTTCAAGCGTGTCTCCAATATGCAGCCTTCTAGACCCCCTCCCCTTCCACAATGGTCTTTACACGCTGTCCTCCGACGTCTCACACTCTCTCCATTTGAACCACTTGCAACTATGTCCGAACGTTTCCTCTCCCTTAAGACTCTTTTCTTAGTAGCTATTCTTTCTGCTCGCAGAGCTTCAGAACTTGCCACCCTTTGTGTAGACTCTCCATTCCTTCAACTCCACCCTGACAAAGTTATACTTTATCGTGATGTCTCCTTTCTTCCGAAAGTTGTCTTGGATTTCCACCTTAAGCAACCTATTATTTTACCTACCTTCTTTCCATCACCAACAGCCGACCTGGAACGCTCTTTCTATATGTTGGATGTTATACGAGCCCTCCTGTTTTATGTTTCTCGAATTTCCTGCATCCACAAGTCAAAGAGGCTTTTTGTCACTCCACACTTGCTGCGCAGAGGCTCTCATGTTTCTCCTCAGACCATCTCCCGATGGATTGTCACAACTATACAAGTGGCATACCAACTCACCAAGAAGCCTCTGCCTGTAGGCATTGAGGCTCACTCCACAAGAGCTGTTGCTACCTCCACAGCTTTCCTACCTCTCCCAGACATCTGCAAGGCTGCTACCTGGGCAACCCCTTCCACCTTTGCCACTCATTACTGCCTAGATGTCAGGGCTAAGACTGATGTGGTCTTTGGCAGGGCTGTGCTCTCTTCTATCCTTCTGTAACGTCCCTCCTCTGGTAAGTTGTTAATCACACTATAGTGTGCATTCACAGAGACCAGGAGGAAGAGAGGTTACCTACAGTACCTGTAACTCTGGTTCTTTGAGTGATCATCTGTGAATTCACACTTCCCACCCATCCTCCCCTCTGTCCATCACGTCTGTCTTGCCTTTGATGCAGCGGCGGACTGTTCCTAGAAACTGAGGTGGTTGCCAGGATGGGCGGACCACTTGCACTAGTGGGGCGGTCCTGACGAAGGAGTGATAAGGCTCTAGAATATTCTGGAAACCTCTGCACAAGTGCAGATTAAACCCTATAGTGTGAATTCACAGATGACCACTCAAAGAACCAGAGTTACAGGTAGGTAACCTCTCTTTTGCATTGCTAGTTTTCAGTTATGTGTGCTTTGATTGTGTGCCTCTGTGTGTGTGTGTGTGTGTGTGTGAGAGAGAGAGAGAGAGAGAGAGAGAAGCCTGGATGCTCATCATTGACTTCTTCAGCTCTTTGATTGCCTTTGATTGAAAGAGTGTATGGACTTTTGTTTTGAAGGCCTGGGATGGGAGGTGCTTTTGCAACCCTGAACAACAAGACATACAGTGCCAAATCAGGCAAGAGGGAAATGAGGTTGCTTTGCTTCCTTGGTTATTACAAAATGAGGAGTGGCTTTTAGGGGGGTTTAAGCATTCCTTAAGGCTGTCCAGGGCAAAAATTAGTGGGCTGAGGGCTTGCAGCTAAGGTGGGGGCAGAATCAAGTTGGAAACCTGCAGTCTGGATAGAATGTGCTGGTGTTTGCTGATTGGAGAAGAGGTGTGATTTGCTATCCTTTCTCTATATTTTAACTTCCTCCAGTTGGGTATTGGGCAGCATTGATTCATTTAGACTGGTGGCCTTCTGCAGTGATACATTTTATGAAGCTTTCAATGTTCTGCTTAATTAAGATCATTCTCTGCTGAGAATAAAATGAACAACATTTGCATCTCTTTGATTTGAGGTAGATAACAAAATTTGTACAGGAAACCCTGTACATTATTGTGGATGTTCTGAGCATCCTGGCCAGGAATTTTTCAGGCTAAGTGCAGTAGCATCTGAGAGATGGCCAAGAGGATACAAACTAATTATGCACACACTGGCATCGGTAGCTAGTTCTAATAAGGAATGGCAGCTATTTAAGCATAGTTCACACTAATCTACCTGTATAGAAATCCTCATGGATGGCTCCTCAGTTAGGAAAGAACAGTGTGCACCATTGCTGTTTTAAGTGGCATGAATGTGTGCTTTCCATGCTGCCATGGAAACAAACTTGCTATGGTGCAAATGATGGCAACAGTTTTTCCTTATGGCCAAAGCCACTCTCCAGGATAGACCACATGTTCATCTCAGCTGTAACCGTGTCACATAGCAATGGAAATGTTAAGAGTGTCCTCTAGGTTTACCTAGCATCACTAAAGAATTAATGTGTTGTCATCACTTGCATTGGAGGCAAGTGTCACTGACAGGCATATTTTTCTGTATATCTCCATAAAAATGAAGTCTCTTGAGAGGCCTGAATTCCATGCCCTTACTCCTCAGAAGATTTTGAGTGATTGGAATGTAGAAACAATTGTTTGTGCTTCCTTCAGTCTCAAGCTGGTAGTGGAGGCAGCAGAGCAGGGTATTTTGATTTCTCTTAGGCTGCGGAATATACTATCAGATGCTTCTTTCCTGTCTTCTATGTGAACAGAAGAGTTGCTGGTAGTCACTGAGAAAGGAGAATTCAATGAGATGGCAAAAATTGCCAGGTCTGCTTGAAGCAGTTTGTCCTTTGGTTCCACTCTGGTAGGAAGAGAAACTCATGCTGTTATACTTATAGTAACTTAAAAACGTAGGTGTGTCACTACTGACTTCAGTGTTATTTAGAGTTAATCTATTTTCCTACTGCCTAGTTGATGTGCATATGACTGCAATTTTAATTTCTCTGAGTCTATAGAGGGACATCAGCACTCTGAGGATCCCTTTAAAAGCGGGGTTGAGGTAGTAGAAATGTGCTAAAAGAAAATTGGTTGTACAACCTGGAGACAGGAAGGACGGTGTCCTCTTACAGTGCGGATTTTATGGGGTGGTGGATTCTGGACTACAGAGCCCAAAGATGTGGGCTGAAACTGAAGGGCTGAATTCACATAGTGAATTGGATATACCAGTGAAGATTTGTACTACACATTTCTAACCACATAGGGATTGTACAAATTTAGGTTGGCTCGCAAAGTACATCCAGCCTGCCAGGGACTGTTTCTGGATTTCTGGTTTCCATTAGATTGTTTAGAATGGATTTGGTAATGTCGGAAAGGAATATATGTGGGAAACCTAAATGAGGGCTGAATCAATTAAGGAAATATTTTTTACAGAATACCACTCACTTTCCCATAAAGCAGCATAACGCTTCAGTGCTAATATTTAATACGTTAAATGCAAAACAGAAGTATCTGGAAAACCAAATACCATAAAGTGTGAAATTGTCAGAGATGCCTGAGAAACATGGGCAAAATACTGCCAGTTGGAACTTAAAACATCTTTATCTTCCGGGGTTTTTAAAAATTGTTCAGATTACCTGGTGAATGTATGCAGGATAAGATTCTGTTGCTGAAAAAGTTCTTAAGATGGTGTGATTTGTCTGGTGCTCCTGATTTGCTGCCAGATCAATCTGTAAAGGATTTTAAAACATTGACAGGAACACATCTTATTCCCTACCTGCTTCTCAAATAAAGTAGATTTTAAACTAGCTAATGGTTACTGTTGTCTTCAGTTGAAAATTGAGATGGAGTGGACCCTATCAATGGAAACTCTTTAATTGCTGTGTAACCATGTCAGGCTTTGGTTTTTGACAGCCTTAACCAAATGTATTCTATTAGCAGTGCTTCTGCTTTATATATAATCAGTCCGATTTATTTATTTTTTCTACCAGAGAATCATATTCTAGAAGATGTAAACAAATGTGTGATTGCTCTCCAAGAAAAAGATGTTGATGGCTTAGATCGCACTGCTGGTGCAATTCGTGGTCGTGCTGCAAGAGTAATTCATGTTGTCACTTCTGAAATGGATAATTATGAACCTGGAGTGTATACCGAAAAGGTGTTGGAAGCAACAAAGCTATTGTCAAACACAGGTGAGATAAATTTTTAATCCTACTTTTAATTTTGGGATATTTAACAAATATGGCCCTGTTCTGCATTTAGCTTGGGGTGGAGTCCAATCGTGTCCATCCGCTGACCTCGCAGGAGCTGCCAACAGCAGAGATTCCGTTTTGCCCTGCAGCATGCCCCCCCCCCCACAAAAATATATGTTTCCCACAGTATACTCGGAAGGATTGAAAACCCTCAGGCAGATTTTAGAGCTACAAGGGTTGCAGAAAGGAGATTAAGGACAGGGTAAGGGGTTCCATTGCACAAAAATATGTTTCCTTAGTAGAAAATGTAGCCCTTGGTATTTGTAGGCATCGTGCACAGCTATTGGCATGTTTTGGAGTGTGTGAACTGCTTAAGGCTCAACTGATACCCATACTGTTTTGCTGGCATATTTGCTTCAGATATGAACTTACTGTAATCATAATACAATTTTGTATACCCACTTGAAAGTACAAAGGATATAGTCACCAGGAAGTTATTGGACTGTAGCACAGTTATTTAACTGAGCAAATGGCAGCCTTGGTCACAGCTGAGATGTAGGCATCCAGGCTCCAGGACAAATCGAGATGGTTGGACAGGGTCATCGAAGCTACCAACATGAATTTGACCCAACTCCAGGAGGCAGTGGAAGACAGGAGGGCCTGGCATGCTCTGGTCCATGGGATCACGAAGAGTCGGACATGACTTAACAACTAAACAACAACAAAGTGAACATGGATCTGCCTGGAAAAGGGACTGTTAGTTTCTATAGACAAGTGGTGTAAACTCTAAAAGCTGGTGCTAGATTCTGTCTCTGTGCATTGCTAATTTTTGACATACAAAGGCAAGGAGGGAACATGGCCACTTCCTTCTTTCTCTGTGTGTGGAACTCTGTCTACATGATGTGACTTAGTGCGAGATAGAGGGGTCTTGGGCAAAGGCAGGAATTTCTGCTGTAGGTATTAAATTGAAATCAGCTTTTGCTGCAGGAGCATGTCTAAATGATGTGCCACTGAACTGAATGTATAAAGCAAAAAGCAAAGTATGCTGCTTATATACTGTCCCATAGTGCGTAAAGCATTCTCTGGGTGGTTTACAAGTTAATTATGCAGGCTACATATTGCCTCCCCTGCCGCCGCCCCCCAGCGAGCTGGGTACTCATTTTACCAACCTCAGAAGAATAGAAGGCTGAGTCAACCTTGAACCGGCTACCTGGCATTGAACCCCAGGTTGTGAGTACAGTTTTGGCTGCAATACAGCAGTTTAACCACTGCGCCATGAGGCTCTCCGATAAGTATGGGGGTGCTGTTGATAAATGAAGTGGAATCCTTCTGGTACACTGATTAATACAGTGTTTTCCCAGCATCAATTCCTATAGTTCACACTTCTCAGGAATGGTATGCTGCGTGGAGGTTTTTGGAAGTATGCAGTATATGTGAGGTTAACATGAAATCAAAGAACATGAATTTTAAACTGTTATTTATGACTGGACATTTGATTTTACTTCAGAAAGCACTGATTTGATTGCGTCTTTCCTTCCTGTGTACGTATCACTAAGTTAGCTTTCCCAGAGAGGCCCTGTACAGCTGTACCTGATTGTACATGACATGTAAAATTAATACAGTGGTGCTTTGAGTTGTGAACTTAATCCGTTCCAGAATGATGGTCATAACTCAAGTTGGTCGTAACTCAAAGCACCATTTCTCATAGGAATACATTGAAACATGATTAATCCGTTCCAGTAAAATAAAATAAAAATTCCAGCAGGGACTAAAAAGCTCACTGCAAGAACCATCATAACCCCACCACTACCCAGCCCAAACCTTAGTAGCCACGGAATCAAACAAACCCATTCCAGCAGGGACTTTAAAACACACTGCAAGACCCATCACAGCACAGAAACATAACACCCCCCACCCAGCCCAAACCCATGCTGCAAAACCCTGTACAGTACTTGCCCAGAACAGACAGCTTTTAGAATTTTAAAAAGCAAAAAGCAGTACCAGGCAGTCCAAAGCCTCTCTGCGAACATACACTCTCTTAACCGCTGGGGTGAAGGAGCTACAGAGAAGCAGCCTCTTCGCTGACCAACAGTTAGCAGTTCAAATTTCCTTGTCTTTTTCCTGGTTGCAAGTCAAAGCAAAATGTTGCGACCAGAGCTGGTCGGATATCAAATTGGTCACAAGTCAAGATGGTTGTAAGTCGAGGCACCACTGTACTGCAGTTCTTGGCAAATTTTGATTTTCTGACTGATATTTTTTGTAACACTGTTTTCTCAATAAGTACCTAATTGTTAACATTCTTCATTTAGCCCAGGAAAATAGCTTAGCCATTTTGCTCCAGGTTTAGACTCTACCATACCAATAAAGTATTGTCTTCCAGAGCTGCTCATAGTGTGGATTCCAGTCAATTAAGTACAAAACTAATATAAATACATCCACGCTTCTAACCTCATGGGAGATGTGAGGAACTGGAATAGTACCAGGAGCCAGGGTATCTCCTAGGAGTCAGTTATTGTCAAGGGGCTCCACTCCTTGATGCCTTTTAGACTCGTTTCCTAAGATCCTGGCACCTCAATCAGAGAGTTTCCTTTGTTCTATCCTCACCTTCCCATCTGGGAAAGGCAAGGGCAGAGCAAAGGAGATCAAGGCATTGGCTCAAGAAACATTCCTTGACCTGGCAGGTCAGCCGTTCTTCTGCTCCCTCTCTATGCTAAAAGCCCCTCACCTCCTCTACCTGCAGGAGAGTAAGTGTTGATCAGAAGTTTAGGGTACTAATTGAGTTTAAACTTTACATTCAAGAAGCAGAAAGAAGGAATAGTGTACCAGTAATGCTGATGAATTAGTTCTGCTTTTCAGTATAGGATCATTATAGAACCTTAATCTTTTATACTCTGACTTTAAGTTGTTGTGTTTTCTATTTGTTCTTCAGTTATGCCGCGTTTTAGTGAACAAGTAGAAGCTGCTGTTGAAGCACTGAGTTCTGACCCTGCTCAGGCAGTGGATGAAAATGAATTTATTGATGCTTCACGATTGGTATATGATGGAATTCGTGACATCAGGAAAGCTGTATTGATGATCAGAGTGAGTAGAGCTGTATTTTCTTGAAATAGTATTCTCTGTCCTTTTAAACGGATTTTTGTTAATTCAGAGCATTTCACATAACACTAGATATTCTTACTAAAATGCACACTTCTAAAAGATAGCCCTTACTATGACATCATCATCGTCTTAGAACTGGATCCCCTGGATCATCAAGTCCAATCCTTGTAAAGGAGATGCAGTGAGGAAATAAATTATCAACTGTGGCTCTGCAGCCAGATACTTAAACCACTGAGCTATCCAATCCAATTTGTATTTGTCTAAAATTAAATATTCAATTTTCCTGTTTTGGAATAGTCTCCGTATTTTTCTCACTAGCTTCATATTAGTGTGCAATCCTTTGCATGGTATTTAACCATTATTATAATTTCTCACACTTTTAACCACAGTGTTAAATGATTTCAGACACTATTACTGCATTGCAGTTGCTAAAGACATATTATATTGGAGATAAATAGTGAGGCAAAGGCACATTTAGAGCAGTGTTTTCATTCATCCTTTCATAAATGACTATCTCTGCTTTATGCGAAGCTGTAACTGGCTGAGATCCTGTTGCTTAGTGAACTAAATTGCACTTGGAGTAGGCCCAGTGAATCAGTGGGGATTTGGTAAGTCAGCGCTTCTATGGAACTACTATAGTTGTGACTTACTGTACTAAGCAGCAGGATTTCAGCCACTAATTATGTTAGAAGTGTCCTTTGGTACAGAATGTAGTAAACTTCTGACATCAACAGAACAGTGACTAACATCCTGTTGCTTAGTGTAGCAAGTCTCAACTAGAATAGACCATTTGAATCAGTGCAGATTTAGTCTGCAAGTTCCAATGATTTAGTAGGCCTATTCTAGTTGTGAACTTAACTACACTAAGCAACAATATTTCAGCTAATACAGTATTAGCAAAACCATAAAAGCCTAAGATGTCTTTGGGAGCCTTCTCATATTGGTGTTCTGTGGCAGAATAGGTGCATCTGACTATTCTGCCTGTCTCCTCTGGGCCCAGTGGAGTGTCTGAAAGGTATGTGCATTGAACAGGAGCATCTGTATGGTGAAAAGATGCATGTGAAATGTTGGCATTATTAGGACTGCATGATGCCATTAAAATTATGGAGAAAGCCAAAGAGTTCCAGAAAAACATCTACTTCTACTTCATTGACTACGCTAAAGCCTTTGACTGTGTGGACCACAGCAAACTATGGCAAATCCTTAAAGAAATGGGAGTGCCTGAGACATCTATATGTGGGACAGGAAGCAACAGTTAGAACTGGATATGGAACAACCAATTGGTTTAAAATTGGAAAAGGAGTACGACAAG